GCACCGGGCACCGGGCGGCGGCCGCGGCCCCTCTGGCAGCCGACCGGCAGGAGGGAGCCCGGTGGCGGCGAGGGCGAGCCCGCCCCCACCCCTCGCAGGCGCCGGCCCTCGCCCTCCTCCTCCTTCTCCTCCTTCTCGCTTTCTCCTCCCCCTCCCGGCAGCCGCGGCCCCCTCCCCTCGCTGCCGAGCCCCCATCGCCCTTCTCACCTCTCACGGTCCGGGAAGGGGGCGCGGCTGGGAGGGGGCGGAGAAAGAAAAAAGATGGCAAGGAAGGCCCCCGCGCCCTCTCCCGTCCCCTCCTGTGCCCTCTCCTCCCGCCCCGCGCGGCGGCGCGCGCCCCCTGCCGGCGGGGCAGGGCAAGCGGCAGGGGAGCCCCGGCCCGCCTCGTCCGGTCCCTGGGCGTCTTTGTCTTTCTTCCAAAAACACAAAGCCAAACATTTCCGTTGCTGCCCGCTGTCCCGTTTAAGAGAAATAAACGTGTGGTAATACACACCGCAGCCTTTCGCCTGCTCTCAGGACGCTGTACTCAATGCTGAGGCAGCCGGTCCTAACCGCAAGTGTGCAAGCACAGGCAGCCTTTCCTGCCCTCATCGCTCAATGCCTTACCAGTGACCGCTGCCATCCAGAGGCTGCATAATTTTCCAAATTAATAGACTTTGTGACAGCTAGATGCACCTCAAACTGATTTAAGGGGGCAGGGGCCATTGCTGAGGCATGGCGGTGCAGGTTTGATGCAGAAATAAGATCCACAGCGCTTGCTGGGCCTCGTTCTGCACGGTGGCCTGTCCGACAGTTCTCACCCCAGCTGGCTTTAAATGACTGAGCCGGTTTTAACTAAACTTGACAGAAGGATGGGGGTTTCAAAGATGCTAGTAGTTCCAGCTGTGTAAAAATTACTAGCTAGGTGCAGGGAAGATTGTCCCCAAGAAAGAAAGCTCATGTTTTCCAGGTCGGTGTGTGGCCAGGCCATACACACACATACACACACACATACACACACACACACACACACTCTCACACAGAACTGGCTGAAGGTAGCAGTGCCTAAAGCTTATGGTGTCCCTGAGGGATGTGCAGACAAATCATACATGGGCACTTGAGCTCAGAAACAAAAGTAAAATCTGCCATCACAATAGCCCTAAAATAAACATGCTCCATCGACTTACTGCAGAGTTCTTGCAGAAGGCACCTTCTGTAGAATCTGAAGCTCAGAGTATTCCACAGGTTAATACTGTATCAGCCTGAGCTTGGGTGGAATCCTATAGTGCAATATCTATTCTGGCCGTGGACACTAACATCACTGGTGATAGTCTGTATCAGAAAGAGACAGATACACACTTGAGAAGTCCTCCTGCTGCTCTCCAGCATTTTCTCCATATCTTCTGGGCAGATAGGATGGGTGAACACCATATAACACTGAAAACAGGAAAATGAAAGTAACTGATATAGAAGATACTAATTGGCAAAAACGAAGTAAGCTAAATTCCTAATGGATTACATATAAATTGCCTAATGTTTTCCTTTTCAGCTCATACCTATGATTTTTTTTTGTATCCTATTGCTTCTATTATACCACGCTGTCAAAAAATCAGAGTTCATTTTGCTTTGATTTCATTGCATGAAAGTGCTACATTTAAAATATATTTATATTCACTACAGCTTCATTAGGACTCTTTCTATAGACTGAATACTGTATTTGCTTCCACTTGCCTTACTCATGTTCTGGGATAACTAGATAACAAAAAGAGCATTTTGAGTTTGTAGGGCATTTCTTATTTTAATTTCAACAGTATTACTTCATTTGGGTAGTACTCAGTATTTAATGGCTTGTGGGAAAAATACGTCAGAAAACTTCTTTCTGAATTAATGAAATCCTTTATACTGCATTACTCTATATTTCAGTTGTTTGTTTTTACATATGCATTATTCAGAGTAGTTTTATTCTTAACATTTCAGAAATGTTCTTTGCAGTCTCATCTATAAGAAAAAATTATAGAATATCATGGTGGTTGTCAGAATTAAATACTTCACTTTTAACTGGAAAGTTTAGCTGAAAAATTGTGACTATGATGTATAGAAATAGCAATGGCTCTATCCCATCTTCTTGAGGTGTAAAGAATGGTAAAATGCAAACTGAAGACACTTGACGGATTGGCAACACATCTGACATCTTTTAAGAATACAGCAGCAATGATAATATGAACAATTCATCCTCAGTTCATTGTACTTAATATATCACAGATTGCCAGGTCAAAAACTTTAGATTATAATGATCAAATCAATAGTCTATTAAAGTCTGAAAGATTCTCTGTTACATAACGTTCCACCTAGCCACATGCAAATATATATAAATAAAACAATAAAATCCCCGTAACTGACTCATGTGATTCTGAATCATTTTTATAATGAGGATCTGACTCATTTTTAAAAAATCTTCTTGGCCAAATTAGAACAAAATTCCTTCACAAAGATAACTGATTTACTGTTTAGCAGGTATATGAAAGTGGTTATTAAAGGGTTTTTTAAGTAAAACTTCCACAAACATATAAAACAGTTGTTGTTTTTTTTCTTATAGTCATTGTGGTACATGAATTTAATGTTGAGCATGTTTGAATGAATCATCTTCATGATGGTGAAGGCCATGTAAGAACAGGATTTGGATTTCTGCAAGTTAATGCAGAGAGAAGTGAAAAGGAAAGTCACTATAAGAAAAGGAAATGAATCGATGTTATTTTGCGTAGTGTCTGCACTAAGTGAAAAGCTAAACCAGAAGGAAGTTGCCATCACTATGCTAGATGGGAGTGCTTCGGTGACATGTGCTTGCTTTTGAGAAAACCAGTAGTCTTCAGATTAGGACTAGGGATAATTACCGTGTTTATTTTGTGTTTGCCTGAATTTTTCAAAATCCATGAAGGTGAGTGATGAGCTTTTAAAAGAAACTTTTATTTATTCTGAAGTCTGCAATTGAAAAGTTGGCACATGCTTTCCCGAAAGCAGTGGTTAGGATGCTGCACACATGGAATTTGCAAACAATATAGACTCTTTTTGTTAGTTTTTTTACCAACAGAGTTAATTATATGAGGTAATTTGAAATGAGTTTGTAGTTCATTTACATACACTGCAAAATTTTTGGTAACTATTTCCATGCATTTATTTTTATGGCTTTTATAATGAAGAAAGTAGTGGAAATGCTAATGTTCTTTTATAGCATGTGCTCATGTCTTCAAAAACAACTTTTTAGAAGTTTTTATACTTAAATGCTGTAAAACTTTGTACAATTAGTATCTAGCAATGAGATGCTGTGTGTGAAAGCGATATGTAGTGGTAACCTGACAAAAAGTAGAGCAGAATGGATGTAACTGAGTAAAGCAAATCTTGTAGCATAAATGCCAAATACTTCTTTGTGATCCTAGAGGCTGATACTGAATTTAGAATAAATGTAAACTATGCATCTGTGCAATTTACTTTTTTAAAATTGCATGAGTAAATTAAAATAGTTTTTTCACATCCATTCCTAAGAAAGCTTTTGAATAAATAAGTGTTATAATAAAATGCATTCCTTTGACAAAGAGTATATTCTCAGGCATCATAACATAATTTCTTTATGAAGCATATAATTTTCTGAAATAATTTAGTATCAAAATATCCAGACTAATTTACTTATATATTTTTTTCATTAACCATAGATTGGACATATCAGTAATTTGAATATAATGTATAGATTGTTATAGTTTATAAATGAACAAACTTGGTAAGCTGTCATAAGCTTTGAATATAATATTTTATAACTCAGTTTAAGATATTGGAATAATTAATGTTTTACCTCCATGCAGAAATAAACAAAGTATTTGTAGCACACATCATCCAAATAAACAATTACAGGACTGTTACCAGAAGGAAACATTAACCTTAGTGTCAAACATCCAAGAATAATTACATTTTTCCATGGTAATTTTTCTAGATTGCTCTAATTGGCCATGCTTTAGGCTGCAATAGTGTGATCACTGCAATTCTGTCTTAATCATAGCATGTCTAAAATAAAATTCTGAAGTATATGTGCGGAACAGAATTATAGTTGGAGCAGCTCAGATTTATATTTGGAAAATTAGAATTATTGCTGCATTTTGGATGTTTTAGAAACTAAATTACTGTATAACAGACTGTGTAATGATGTCTAAATTGCATTAGAAAGTAAATATGTTGAACAATTTATTCAAAATCTCTAAGGATTTTGGGTCTCTGGTTCCAAAAAAAACCTTCTGTTGAAAACTGGTTTTATTTCAGATTTTGTGACAAACCTAAAATATACAGATTTTTTTTGTAAATGTTTCAAATTGCTGGTTACACTATGATGCTTCAGCAGATAGAGTTGTTGGAAATCTTTGAGATGTGAAATATAATCACTGACTCTTCCTCTGCAAGTTCCTAAATGAATGGCAGAAAGCTCCTAATTCCTGGATGTCTTATCCCAGGGGAAGTTCCAGCATTTACTTTCATTCTGGAGAGGGAATAAAAATGGAAATTTATGATTAAATAAAAATTTTGGGGGAGACCAATTTGCAAAAAAAAACCAACCAACCAACCAACCAACCAAACAAAAAACCCCTTTATTTTTTTTTAAAGAATACAGTTCAGCATTACCAGAAGTAAAATGTTTCCTTTCTATTTGTAAAGCAGCCCACTTGTTCGGTTACAAGTCATTGAACCTTTAAATTACACTGATTTAGAGTAGGAGGTTATCCTTTTGGAGTCTGATGCTTTCAATCCCAGTCCTATCCCTTGGGTCCTGCTACTTGATGGAGTGTATCTCCTTTAATCTATCAGTTGTCTATTCCCCAATTTGTACCATAGGTCTTGTATCTCTACAGTATTATGTGGCAACTCCAGCTTCCATGAGGAAGTGATAAAAAATGCAGCTGTACACGCTGCTGCTCTCACTCAAAACAGAATGCTGCAGATCAAATGAAAAAGAGTCAAACCCATGCAAAGTGAAATATTTGCTATTTTCTTAATGGGGAGCAAGTTTTTTATGAATTTTGATCTTCCCTGTGAATAATTTCATTTTAATGGATTTGGATTTTATATGAAAAACCACCCTGTAAATAGAGGTTTTATAGAAGAATTTAATAATCATAGAACTTCTTAACATTAAGCATGTGGTTACAGGTCTTTGAATATAAAACAGTTCCCCAGAGATACTTTGCATGGTTTCATCTCAGCAATCCTTTTTTACTATTCAGGCTGCCTGTGTTCAGATTTCACAAAACCCTTTCCAAATTTCTAGAGCGGTGTTTACATTTGGGAGGTTGCCTCCCAGTTCTGCAGTAAGGAGCAAGGATGCTATGGCTCTCTGTCTGCCATGTAGTCCACTGGGAAAGTGCAGTGTTGTTGCAGCCCTCCTTCAAGTGTTCAACAATCTGAATCTCTCCTTAGAAAGGCCACAGTCCTGTGATGTGGGAAAAAACAAGTTTGTTTATGCTAGATAGTAATTTGATCTGCTGTCTCAGTAGAGACCTTTCAAGAGGATGGTAAGCACCCTCCCTAACTCAACCACATTCACACCTTTTCTACTCAGATAACATGCCTTTGACACAGCTGCAGCGTGGCTCACAGGCAGGTCTGGGATCTGTTTAGCCATTTGTGAAGTTCAAAATGGACTTTGCAGTGCTGAACATCAATGTCTGCCACAGTCCAGTCAGCAGATTCCCAAGTCCATGTACAGATTTATTGGTGAAAAGAATATGTTAGGGAATTGTGATTAGTTGCCCTTGAAAGCTGTAGCAGTGGTTTTAGACTGGTTGCCCAGATGCCATGGCTTGAGTAAACATTCAATTTTTGCTCCTGGCCCATCTCCACAGACAAGTTCTACACAAAATGCCTCTTTCAGGTGGAAGAATTTGATCTCAGAAGCCTGCTCCAGGACCTGTTGTGTGGGTCAGACTGTAAGCAATTCAAGGAAAATTCTGTGTCTTGCCTCAGAGAAAGATCAAGCCCTAAATTTTGTATGATATTCTTCCTTTTTATATCAAAAGGAACTTTTTGTTACCTGAGTGTTTTACATTTCAATTTATTATGTTTTATAAGGAGTTCATAGCTCTCTGATGTTGTGTTAGTAAAGGGAAAATAATTGACTTTGACATTGGAGTTGGGATTTTATTTCTGTATCCTGTCTGGAATCTCTTACTGAATCATTTCTGAGGTCAACCTGCTGCTCTGTGAGCACTGAAGCAACTAAAGGCTATATTTTGCTCTCTATACATAAGGGTTTATGATCACATTGCTCCAGTTGCTCATAATGGGAGTTAGATACAAAATTTTCCTTTTATAGAGATGCAAGGGTACTACTAGAGTTGGAAACATAGCTATAAAACTGTAGGTTAGTGCAGCATCAGCTCTGGGAAGTGGTTATTCATACATATTTCATGTTGGGGTCACACAAATTTCTTTATTCTTGAGTTTTTGTATCTGAAAAAGTACTTCAAAGTTACTGAAAAAGTGGTTCAAAGTTAACACAAGCAAAAATTTTCATGATGAAGCTCTACTGTAAAGTGGAAGACAAATCACACTCATTTATAACTGTGTTTTTTGCTGTTTTCCAGAACTGCATTAATGTACTCTAGCTATGGTACTTTGATACTGAAATTTGACTGTGAATACCAAACCCAAAGGTCATAATTAAACTCCATGTTTGTTGACTGAATATAAGAGAATGTGAGTGGTATGGCTGGAGCATTCAGCAGCATTTCTGTATATTTTCACTCTGTGGTTTCAAGGTCATTTGGAAAGAAAGCTTTCTTTCTGATTATTGCTACTTCACAACATAAATGCAGTGGAGTGTTGCAACTGCACTGTTCCAGGGCTGAGTTCCCTCTCCAAACAACTTTTCTCTTCTTTTGAAGAAGCATAAATGTGCTTTTTCTTCTTTTGAAGAACAGTCAAATTGGAGCAGCTTTGAAATAGGAATGTGACTAGATACCATCAGAAATTCCAATTACTATTGCAAGAGTTTTAATATTATTCAGAAATAAAATCTAGTGTCAAGCTTGTGGGAAGACTCTGTCCTTGCTTTCTCTTACATTTAAATGATGCATTTAACATCCCATCATAATCCTCATGAAAAAAGGAAAAAAAGTGCATTTCATCATAAGATGGTTGGAATATCCACTACCTGATCCTTCTAATCACATATTTGTCCATGTGTCCTATATGATTGACTAACGTAGAACTCTTTCTTTTACAGCTAACACTGTAATGGTGTCCTGCAGGGATACCTGTTCATCAAGTAACACCACTTTTCCACTTTGTACTTTTGACAATTCTTACAAAAGATCAGTGCAACAAAGAAGAGAAACCCAGACCATTTTGCTGAAGGTCATTATAAATAATGCAGATTTCCAAAATATTCCATGTATTTGCCAGTCCTCCTGGAGGGAGCAACAGTCCCACCCTAAACAGAGAGCGTATGAAACCAAGAGGGATATGAATGTTGATCATCAAGGATCAGGGTCAATGGCTAAAAAAAGTAAGTAGGATAAGAGAAATACTTAATTTTGAAGTAGCTAATTACAAAATAAAAACCAAGTCTTTATTTGGTACTTAGAAGAAAATTATATGCTCCTGGTTATCTATGGTCTTTGCAAGTCTATGAACAATGGTGGTTTTTGGCTTTTATTTGCATGGCTAGAAAATGCTGATTTTGTGCCAGATTCTCAGTGGCATTCATTCCTGCCTGTCAGTGAAACATGTCAGTAGCATGTAGTTTCTAAAGTATTTAATTTATTTCTAAGGAGTTGTACTTTCTGACAATTTTTCAAGCTGAATTTACTTTTAAATGTCATTATGGAACTCTACACATAGATTGCTGGCATTATGAAGATAGGCTGTATCTGAAGAACTAATGTAGTGCGTAACTATTCTGATGGCAACTATGGAGGAAATAACCATTTTTGTGTTTGTAGTCTGCATTATCATCCACTGTGTAGTATCAGGAATGGCCTTACATGTTTTATAGAAAGCAGCACTGACTAAGGAATGGCACAGCAATACAGAGGAGAGATAGCAACCCACATCTTTTCAGAGCAGTAGCAGCCCATTCCTTCTGTGACACATACACTTGCAAATATCTGGAAATCTTTGGGGAAGAGGATGCCTCTTTCTAATATTGTCAGCAACAGGGGCAATAGGCCAAGTCCTGAATATAAGAAATTCAGTTATTTTCCAACCATATATTTTCCTTATTACAAAATAGCTGTCTTAACAAGCATGAAAAATAAAAGCTTATATATGGCCAACCTCTGTTCTCAGTTATACCTGTACAACTAACACTTTTGACAATATCTCACCTGTTTATTGTAAACACAGCACAAGTCTCACATATTCTGTGGTTTGAAGCAAAGCAAGCACCTCCTGCAACTGATAGCAGATAGACAGTGTGCACTTCAAATCTCTGTCATCATGTGGTTTCTGCCTGGGTTCTATCCTTCTCACGGCCTGATTTTTGCCTGTTGCCTTTGACAACTGACAGCAAAAGCAACAACAAAAAAAGGTGACAGTAAAGCAAAAAGGGGTTATAACCCAAAAAGGGTTACCTTTGCAGGGAAAATGTAAGAGATAACCAATGCTCTTCAGATCTGTTCAGACTAACTTTACACAGTATACATTTATCCATCTTTTTCCTAGTCAGCGATGTAGAAGCCTTTATGTTTTTGCAAATGAGACAGAGAATTCACTGTACTTTTTGAGAGTTGTCTCTTAATCTACCACTTGTGTAACTGTTTGGTTTTAATTTTTATTTCCAAAAGCAAAAGGCGCTCTTGAAGTGAAAACAGAAAATGCTATTTTTTTGGATAAATATATAAATTTCACCATGGTTTCCAAGAAAGAAGCGGAGCATAATATGAACTACCTGGTGGAAATCCACATCAACAATTCTATAGTCGGAGGACAAAACACAACCAACGAACAACTAAATCATTCTTGTCTCTTGGCAATGATGGAAGACCAAAATGACTGTATAAATATTTCACTGCAACTGAAGTCTTATATGGAATGTAAGTTACAAAAGAAATTCAGAAAGGAAATCAAACAAGAAACAATATAATCTTGCAAAAAATCTCAAGTAGGTAGTTGTCTGCTTCTAGCAACCATTTGAGATACTTAAATATTTCACAAGAAGAGAAATATTTTGAACACCCCTTATTAAAAAAAAAACAATTCATAGTAGACAGCTGATGATTTTTGTAATGATTTAAAGCAAATTTGAAGATATTTAAATATTTCACAAGAAGAGAATACAATTTTGAACACCCCTTATTAAAAAACAATTCATAGTAGACAGCTGATGATTTTTGTAATGATTTAAAGCAGGTTTAGCTGTACCTTTTTTTTCCTAGAAGAAATACAGCAAAGTAAAGATCTGTACATTGTTTCTTGCTTAGCAGCAACAGACTCACACATTGCATGTGACAAAACCTGGAAATACAGTTTTCCCTTTCCTGATAATGACATAACCCTCTTGTCTTGGAGGTAAATTTAAAAATCCCTGTTAACTATGGTGATAATAGAATCAGGAGATAGGTTTGACCATTCTAATGTTGTACTGCAATAGCCTAGTATATAGCCTCACTACAGTATGCTTAAAAGATAAATCTTCAGCTGAACTGAGCTTAGTTTCCCCAGAGGACAACTTTCAGCTTCTTATATTTCTCTTTGTGCTGCAAGAGTTTTTTGTTTGATTTCCTGACCATAGTCAGGGCTTCCATTCTGTCTATCTATGATGCTTGTTATTTGGAAGTTGCTGAATTATTGCATTCACTTGGTTTTGCATGGAAAATATATTTTTTGTACCTTTGCTGGAAAAAATATGGTTTTAGAGTTGGATTAATATATGTTAAATAAGTCCAGGGAAAATCCTAGAGAAGCAAGGGCAGCTTTGGATTGTTTTGATTTTTTGTTTGGATTTTTTTTTAATATGTGTGTCTAGCCATGAGAGAAGCATAATTTGTAACTTGCCCTGCTAACTTGTGTCAATACTATGAGCTAACCATCCTTTGTTAATACTGATTTACCTGGGTAGCAGTAATCTCATATTAGCATTGAAAATTAACAATATGTCTTTTTTTTCTCTCTTCTTCAAAACAACCAAAGAGGTGCTCAGGGCTTTTACTAAGCAAGGCTGATAATCAAGTCGTTACAAGCCACTACAAAATGGGGTAGACTGCCCTGTTTAAAAAGAGCCTAGATTACTGTATAAAAGATATTTTTAGTTCTAAATTAGGAGGGATGAGCCATGGGGTAATTGGCATTTGCCTCATGAGTTCTTGATGGAGAAGATATCAGGGAAGTTGAAGTCTAATTATACTGTTCTATGTCAGGGAAAGGGAAACAGTAGTTTGGCTACAGTCTGTAATTTGGTTTTTCATGATTTATGGTAACATAGCTAGTTTTTAAAACAGTTAGTTGACAGTGCTAAGGTATGCATTAATTTGCAGCTGCCAAAGAAATTTGGAAGACCATTCAAACAACCAGAGGGGAAAGTTCTCCACATCATTCCTTTGTTGTATACAGTCCTGACTTGTACTAGTTATTGAACTAAATCCCTGTGGAATGTGGGTGCACTTCTGCAGCAGCTGTTGTCCAAAAGGGCAGCTTACCTCCTGTATTCAGTCCCATGTGATTTTCCCTCAAGGCAACTTTAAATTAATTCTCCAGAGGGCTCCTGTTGGTGGCATTTCCTCACTTTTTTATAAGAAAATTTCTGTATGTAGAATCTTGCCTTCTCTCATATATGAAGATAGATCATGAGGTTAAGAATGCCAGTAGAGGCCAATGTTGGACAGTGGACCACTCCCTTCCATGCTCTATGCAGACAGAGGGGACATGTATTACCCTTCTTCTACCCTAAATATAAATGTTCATCTTTGAAGCATTTTCATTGGCTGAGTTGAAAAGTTTTCATTCACTCAGTCATCTGTATCTATTTCAGCCATGGGGAGATATATAGATATAGAAATAGATAGAGATATAGATATAAAAATACAGGCAAAAATTAAGATAAATTCTAGACAGGAAACCTAACATCAAAAGGCTGAAAGAAAAAGGCATAATCACTTTTTTGTTTGTTTGTTTGTTGTTTTGTTTTGTTTTGTTTTTATCTGTGGGGATAGGCACAAAACCTACCAAGAAGGAATGTTCTGCTTTTCTCTGCTGCTGGTGATTTGTTGCTTAATTTTCTCTCTTGTACATTTTATGGACAGATCCAATGTGTATGACAAAGATCATTTGGCTCACTCTGATTCCAGTAGTTTTTGTGTTTACTATTTCAATCGTCATCTACAAAATAGTCCAAGAAAATAAACGGAACTGTAAGTAACGAAAAGTTAATCTGCATTAATCTAAATTTCTATGCAAGTAAGAATATATTAATTTATAATAACAAAAATGTTGATTATTATTGTAGCTCAGACACTGATATTTTCATTGTCAAATGGTAAAAGCTTCTTAGAGACTCACTAAAGTACTCAGAGATGGTTGATAGCATTACCTCTCACATCTTTGGTGGGTGCAAAAATTGTAGATGCACATCCAAGCTCGTTGATAGCAAATTAAATGTGGGGGCTTTGATAGATGATTGGTAGTGATATGAACTTCTGGTTTCACACTGATTTCAGTAGATGAAACAGTTACTGTTAAACTTCGTGGAAGGTTTTAAGCAGAAATGCCAATGACCAGTATAAGTGAATTGAATACCCTTTCCTTCCTGAAGGTGATTCATTTAGGTGACAGTCTGAAAAAATTATGGGATAGATATGAGGAGATATACATTCATCTGTCTGTCCTAAAAACTGGCTATTCAAGTTCATTGGTGGTGTAATCCCTTGCAGGGCAACCAAGGTGGTCCTTCTTAAGCTGAGAGCTGAATTAAGCCCAGATAACATTACATCCTTTGCTATTACTTCAGCAAAGAAAACATTGCTGTGATTTCTGAACCATCACTATTGACTATTCCAAGTGATTAGAACTTTGCTATGAGAGAACTTGCCATTAGTTCAGAGATTGAAACAATTGTTTCTAGAATATTCCTCCAGCCATGTCAGGCTCTTCTCTTGGGATACAGGCTGAAATCAGATTTGCAATATTTTCTCTATTCAATTTACAATGAATAAAATAAGAATAAAATTGTAGGAGTACCCTGAGCTTGAGACTTTTAAGCAATCAAGATAAAGTCCTTTGCACAAAAACAGTGCTGAAAATTGAACACTTGTCAGCTTCTGGTCCTTGTTTCTCTTCCCAAGTCAGAGGTAGGTGGTATCAGGAGCACATTACCTTTCATCATTGTTCAAGAAAAGAATATTACTTAAGCTGTTACCTGAGGGAATAACTCTCAGGTGCTTTCCAGGAGCACATTACCTTTCATCATTGTGAAAAGAATATTACTTAAGCTGTTACCTGAGGGAATAACTCTCAGGTGCTTTTCACAGCATTTTCCAGAGACGTTCTGCTTGTGTCAGCCCTGAGCAGGCAGAATGCCTCCAACAACCAGCATTTAGTTGCTATTGCCAGGCAGGTTTGCATTCCCCCTGTAGTTCAGAGGTGCTGAAAGGAGACCCTGATCACAGGGGTAGTAAAACAAAAAATAAGCCATAGCCATTCCCCTGATCATCCTTACTGTATGCACAGAAGGAGCAACAGAAGTCTAGCTTTAATTATAACTGAACAAAAAGAAAAATAGTGCCCACACACAAAATATTTCTGTGATTTTTTTGCATAATGTAAATACTTTATTTATATATTTTTAATCAATAAGCAAAATAATTGCTTGAGATGTCAAGTTTGTACCCTCTCCATCCCAATAAAAGAAACTCCTTACCAGATTATGTTGCTTAAAATACATGATATTTTACTTGCTTTACTTATTGCTAGAACCAATTTCTGAGACCTATTTCATGTATATAAAACCCCACAAAGTGTAAGTTAGGACTTTGTAAGTGGGCTATTAAGTGCTCCAATTTAAAGGACTTTTGTTTGTAATTTGAAAACTACTTATAAATGTCATGTCTCTGATTTTCTATGCTTTAAGTCATAACATTCTATTTTTAATGTAGAACTGTAAGTAGTGATGATTAATGATTTAGTACCTTTTTTCTTAATCATCACTTTTTTATTAAACTCAAGTTTTCAGAATCATTATGAACACAAACAAGGAGGAAGAGATGCCCTTTTGAGGCTTCTAATTACTGACTAGCTTCAAAGATATATTTTCTGATGATTGAGGAAAAGTGGGTTTATGAGTTAAATTTCTAATATATAACATTATAACCAACATAATTATGTTACTGATAAAAGGACAAGTGCATAAAAAATAAAACTTAAGATGCCACCTTTCACTGCAAGTCTATATGTTTTGTCAGTGGTGCTCAAAGAATAGAGCAGAACTATTAGCTATGTTCCTAAAACGTCTCTTATGAATTTTTTCAGCCATAATTCCGTAAGAAGTTTTTCTCTTCATTTCTGAGCAACACTGAAAGCTGTTAAGAAATGTGGAATTACTCATTTCCTCTTGAGACCTTGCAAGATATTCTGCTAGGTAGACTCCCATATTCTCTGAATCACTAAGCTATTTTCATGAGCGCATAAAATAAAATACCCAAATAAACTTGGTGGAAGTTACAACTGATCTAAGACAAAGGCCCTAAACTAGAAATTAATTATTTTGCCTTTTCCCTTCTGCTCTTGTCTCACAAACACTTCCAGAGCCTCCTTTGACATTAACTGTTACAGTGTGTGCTTGGGGCTTTAGCGCTTTAGATCTCCACTGGCTAGCCATAAAAAAATTCATGACCTAAATAATTTTAACTAATGAATTTCTTAGTGTTCTCAAAGGAAAGTGATAAAAATAAATTCTGTTACATAGAATTGGAGTAAGCCTGTCACCAGAAGCTGGCTGAGCCCTGGACTGCAGTCACTGCTGAACAGGGCTAACCACAATAGCTGCACGACCACGTGCAATAATCCCACTGTGAGCACAGCATTTAGAGAGCAGCAGAAGGATGGAAAGACTGAGAGTTTATGAACTGGGTGCTGAGGAACAGCCAGAGGTGCCCAGTCCAGCTCTAGCTTTGTCAGGGGTGTGGAGCTTGCTGTCAGACTGTGCTTTCCAAGATGAACACCCCACACTAGCAAGGAATCTGTCAGCTTCCTAGGATGCCCATACACTTCATCCTTGCTACTCCACTGTCAGCAGTGAGAGTCCAAACCTGTACTGGAATATGCACTTTTCTTCATATCTTTCCAAAATTTGTTCAAGGTACACAGTTTAGAGAAAGGCAAGGAATAATTTGAAAGGGACAAATCTGAATGAAATTTCTACAAAATTTAATTCAGGAAAATACAAATCATCTGGTGCTTGGTTTTCCTCATCACCTTATTCCAGCACCTTCCTAATTTTTTGAACACTTTCCAAGGTGTTCAACAGTTTAATAATAAGGGGTTTACAAGCTTTCCTTTTAATCAGGGTTGATGCTAACATAAGACATTTTGTTTAAAGCAGATTATAAACAAAGAGTAGCAACATCAGTTTCTACTGTTCTAAGAAGAAAGAGTTCCAGACATGGAAGAAGAACTGTATCTGCTACTAAAATTCATCCTTTTCCTGGTAAGTATATAAAAGTAAAACAAAATTTAACAAATCTTGAAGCATAAGGAGGTCAAGAAAGACCTTTTAAGACTTTCCTGTCAAGAGATACTTCAGGTTTGTTTCAGAGTTGCCTTGGTCCTACACAAATTTGATTTGGCTTATGTTAAGGAAACACTTTTTTGTTTTAAAGAAATAAATCTGACAACAAAACTATAAGAAGACTTATATATATAATGTGGGAATGCTTCTCCCAGTCTTCCCAGACTTTGAATTATGACTTTGAACTTTGAAATTTTTAATTTTTGGTCATATTGTGTGCCAGTTTTGAGGTTTGGCACCTGAGTGCTTTGTGTGTGTGAAAAGTATACAGAGATGTGCACATGTGTATGTATGCTCTATGTGTTTGTCATTCTTGATAAAATTTGCTACCAAAGCATGGAATGAATGGCTGCAGCAGGACTCAATAAATGGTTTTGCTGGCACTTCATAGCCTATTTCTAGGGTCAAATTCCCCCAAAATGCAATTTTTGAATTTCAGATAGGTAAAAAATTGTGGTCTTCGGAGAGTGTAGTATGCTTACCACAGATAAATTAAATGGCATGGCTAAACTCAAAGTTTGGATTCTAGAAAACTGGATTTGGCATCAAATATCTGTGTGAGTGCCAATTACCAGGTGTTGCTGTGTTACTGACATTGCTCAAAGAGTGAAATGTTTTAATAAATTTCATGGATTTGGGTTTTGTGAAGGGAGCTATATCTTTTTAAATATTAACGTGAACATATAGAATAATAGCTCTGAAAGGCAAACTAACCTCCCTTCAAAACAAGAAAAATACAAAGCTAGCAAATGAAAAAAAATGGTTTAAAATGACTTAAGGCTTAAGCACTTTGCTTTTTGTTTTGTTAGTTCTTCGGGAGTAAGAGGAGACTCAATAATTTATGTCTACAACACAGTATTTCATGGCATTTCAATTTTACCTAGAAAAGACTGAATAGCTTCTTGTCTGTCTGAACTCCCCTGTGAGTACAATTTATGCTTCTTGCTCCTAAAGCACTGGCTACCTCTGAGATATATTTATGAGCTCATTAATTTCATTCTGCAGGGAAGGAATTACCTTTCTGACATCTATTGTCTTGAGTAGCTTCACTAATATACCTGTTTAATCACATGTTCAGAATGGCATTTTTAATGTTGTATATCCAAGGCATTTTTGATGATGGGGTCTAATGGAAATTCAAATCTGGTTTTACTAGATTTTACTGGAGAGAATAGGAATCCTTATTGGTCTGTCATTCTCACTTTTAAGTGCCTCCCACTACAATCGATCCATGTAATCAAGAAAGAGGCTTAGTTTCATGAACTGCAATAATGGGGTTTATTTTAATATAAAATTCCTTGGTTTCATACACCATAATTTCAGTCAATCCAATCAATTTCATAGTTTATACCAATTTAATTTAAAATATAATCAAATCCATATGAAGAGTTTATTCTTTGCACAGTTGCTAAGCTTAGACTTTGTTACCATGCTAATGGATTACAAATGGCTACAGATCACTTTGTTGACAGCCCTTGACAATATTTTCCCTATAATTAGAGCATAGCTTGCAATCTTGAAAGAAACCATTGAGATCCACTGAAGACAATACAATCACCCTGGAAACACAGTAATGAGTACTTGAGAGGATGTGACAGTACGTCTTATAGATGAAAAGATGGATTAGTATTCCAAAAAGATTATTTGAAGAAAAGAAATTATAAGGAAAGAAAAAGATGGAAGCCTATACTTTGTGAATGAGAGTGAATTCTTAGGAGTCTTAGTAAATGACTGGCTTAATGTCACTGTGGTCCTACAAAAAAGTAATTTACAGCACGGATGTTAGTTTTGTGAGACTGTCAGTGGCTTTATATCCATGAGTCACTGTCATTAAGTCCAGTGACCAGAGGAAAGGGGGGAAAATGTACAGAATGTTCTCTAGGGAAGGATTAAATTTACAACCTTCCAAATTCACAGTACTGCAAAGGATTAAGCACATATAGTGAGGAGAGGGGAGCTTAATAGCATTCTAGTCATAAATGTTGATAAAATATTGTCTGGGCTGTAAAGCTAAAAAAGAATGCACTAGACCATGGGTTACACAAAGCACATTTTCTAGACTTTGGAGCTGGTCCTGCCATTGCATTTATATATAATAACTGTCCCTTGAATGGTGTGAACTGACAAAAGGAGTTTCCCTTAAAGGCATCCATAAGACAAGGGAAAGAAGAGAGGGTACTTATTTTTAGTGCAAGAAGTGTTCTTTAAGTGGCTGATCTGTATTTCCAGACACAGAGAATTTTCATCAAATAGAACTTCATAGTAATAACACATGGAAAAGAATCCATTAAAGCCACTTCCTTGCTTTGCATTTACTACAGAGAATCTTAGTGAGATTCCCACACATGAGAATTTTATTGCAAGAATTTCTTTGAAGTGCTTTCTTAAATTGAAGAGGCAGTAGAAGAGGTTTTAGAACAGCTTAATAAATTAATAATGGCAATTAGAAGGACTAGAATGTATTCCCCACAGAGTTTTAAAAGAGCTCAGAAACTGCTGAATTACCATTTGCAGCTTACTGCTTAAATCAGTCTCCCATGCAGATAAAAGGAAGAAAGTTATACTTACCCTGCTTTTATTCCTCTTCCTTAGCCCATTTTCCCTAAACCACTTTGGTACCTCTTCCATTGCTAGTAACTGACTAAGTGTAGTTATTCTCATGTAGCTGTAACCTAAAAAAAAAGGTAATCCTGGGCACATGGCACAAAATTACTTGTTGGGAGCAGGCCAGTGTGTGTGAACTGTATGCTACATTATTAAAAAAAAAAAAGAAAAGAAAAAGCAAGAAGAAATTGTAGAAAAATGAGATTGCATAAATGAGGGCATTTAATAACTAAGCTGAATCTGCCTAGTAGGGTTTGGAATATTCATTAACATAATTAGATGGGTTATACTTAAGTGGGAATTTATATTACTCGAATCTTATCACCATAAATTCCCATTCAGACTTAATTTTCCTAGAGTAAGAACAACATTCCTTGTTTATTTTGATTCTATTTTGAATGTGGCATAGGATGTGTTAGAAGAAAAGGATTGCTCTCATTCCTGTGCTAGAATTGGACAATAGGAATCATATTGTTAAAATCATCATGTTGTTGCTCTACAGTCTGTGTGGGCAGCCTTACTTCAAGCATAATACCTTGTTCTACATTGCTCAAACAGTATATTCATTTTTAGTGATATTCCATTGGCTCACGGAGTCACAGTTTGGTTCCTTACATTTTAGGACACAAGTACAAGATTCCTTGACTCAATTGTCTGGCTCACAGTAATGCAAAGTTAGTTCTGATGGATGGTAGTTTTATAACTCCTCATGAAAGAAGAGCATTGCAGGGTCATGGTGACAACAAGGATTCAGAGAATAAAACCTCAAACTTCCTGGTCTGCTGTTGTTTCCTGGACCATTTGGGGTTTATGACATCCATACTATTTGATACAAGTGGGCTTGACAACTGTAATTTGCACAGAAGAAACAACAAGACAAATTCCTTCTCATTTGAATTCCTGTATTGTTTTCTGTGCTATCCTATTAAAATAATAGTTCCTTTCCCACAAGATTAGAGGAAATAGGGGAAATTCTGCCATATCTCTTATGCGTTGCTACAGCTTCAGGTCAGTTGACATGCTGGAAATAGAAGCAACTGCTGGCTCAGCAGTGTCAGGGCTGGCATCCCAGCGAGTTCAGACTTACTCCTCCCTGTATTCTGCAATACGTTTTCTTTTTAGCAAACAGAACAGGTAAGACACATGTTCTACAACAGCAAATAGATGCAAAGACAAGAAAGAGAAATTTGTTTAATCTTGGCTAACTGAAACATCACCTATTTGGTGGTCCCTCTCAGTTCCTGACATAGCTGAATAGTTATCTTTCCCTCTGCAACTTATATGAATAATGCTGGCAAAAGCAAAGCTTCTCATAGTATTCAATATTTAACATAGACTCAAATATGTTAAATTTAACATAACCAAGAATGGTTACGTTAAACATAACCAAGAAAATTGTGAAGCCTTATTACCATTTTGGAGCTTTAAAATTTTTTTTCCATATAAAATGAAGGATAAAATCTATAGGATGCAGGTAACTTTAGGGAGCTTTTTATAGCCCCTGTATGCTTTCCATAGAGCACTGATGCACGAAACCTTTTCTCTGCTCAGTTTACATGCATGCAGAGCAGTGTTACACACAGGCACTGAAGGGGATATCAGCTTATATTCCCATTCTCTCCAGATTCATCCTGAGGGTCAAACGAGATCCATTGTTATTTTTTAAAAAAACTTTTTAATTTTTTGACTTTGCTTTTCATATTCAGCTGCTTGAGTGCCAAGATCCAAACTCTAATTTTAATTGCATTTGTAAAGAGAGAAGCCCAAATGATGGAGTCAGTGAAGAATGAATATAGCTAGATAAAAGTGACATAGTTTATCCTCTTGTTGTCAGCTCAGAATAAACCCATTTGTAGGTTTGCAGAAGTAATGGATAGTCAGGGACAGGATGGACCCAGAGTCAAAATATTATTTGTGTTCTAAACAGTTCTTTGAAAAATGCATTGGATAAACAACTCTGTGTGCACTTGCCTGACAGTGCTATCTCTGCATTTCCTTATCTGTGGCCCACTGAGATTAGCATCTGTGTGCTGAAGGCATCACCTCACCCCTTCCTGCTTCTGAGGTGTATGCTGTCACCTTTGTTGACAACTGGGTGATACCCAGTAGCTCTCTCTGTGTGTATGACAAATGAGCAGAGGCCACACCGTGTGCCTGTGACAATCTGTGCTGCTCTTATGTGAAAATGAGTCAGGAACTTCATACTCTAAGTTTCCATTGTTTCTGCTTAACTGGCTAAATGTAGGGGTTTGTATTTTGGGGGACATTTACATAACCTCAAATTTGCATGCTTTTGGATTTTCACTACAATTTATTCACAAATTTATTTCACACAAATGTATTTGCCTACCTTCAAGCTGCTTCCCTGATAGACTTAGAATCAGCACATTGTAGTCCTAAAAGTATTAAGAGGAAGTTAAATACCAAACATGGTTAGTATTTTCAGTACTGTCCATCTCTGTCTTGTGTTCAGATAGGTCTCAGTTCTTTTTCAAACTTGCATATGCAAGTCCAACACTCTGCAGATATATTTGCTGTTAATAATATGGATAAAAATTATTTTAAATTTCAGTAGTGAAAACCAGCAAACAACAGGTTCCACTTCCTGCACAGACCACAAAGATACTGCCTGTAATTCCTGAACAAGAGCACTGTCATGTGGATCAACTCTAGAAGGTAAGTAAACATCTTACAATCCTGATTGGTCTGGTTTGCCTCATATAGAAATGATAGTGTGGATATCTGAACAAAATAAATTATTACTTCTTCTAGCCAAGTGAGTAAGATGAAAAACTCGATAATGTGTATTGTGAGAGCTAGGTGGCATAAAAAGAGAATCAGTTTTGCTTATGCTACCAAAAGTGATCTATAATCATATGTGTTAGCCTAATAAACCCTGTGTGTCCCTGCAGACCTTGGTGCAAATTCTGACACAAATTTCTGGTGCAAAATATTGTGTCCTAAACTTTAGCACTGTGCTGACATTTTTTTCCTACAAGGGCAGAGAAAAAAAGCCATTTGCAAATGATCTCTGAAGAAAATTCCATATTTGAAATAAATAGCCTCCTTATGAAATTCCTCAAGCAAAAGAAATTGATTGCTCTGTTGTTCTTACACCAGTCAGAAGGAATGACAAGAAGCAGGTTTCTGTTCAGAACTGAAACTAATCTCCCAGTCCTAACTTTCTGCAGCCACTGTCCTGCAGCAATTGTTTCAGGAATTCCAGATGCAGGGAACCAAATCTTCATAGAAATGTGCAGTAAGAGAGATTTCTTCCTGAAAATACTTGTAATGTAGAAAAAAACAGATGCTACTTGAATAAGTAATACAGACTAATACTTCAAGTGCATAGGCCAGGTGATGGATACTTGCACACATGATATTATTGTGTATGGTGATTATTTTAGGTTAAAATCTTAAGGAGTTCCTTCTTTTATATTTCTATTTAAACTGGATGGAGTTTCATTGGAAACTCAATATAATGTCATGCTATCTTTTTATTGTGTTAAAAAAATATTGTACTGAAGAGCAGTTTGATTTTTGTACTTCATGTGGAACCATGAGGATGAAATTGCACATTGAGAATACAGCTAAATAAAAAATTTTGAACAGTTTTGCTGACAGAAGATGAAGTAAATTAATAACTGAGCTAGATTTTTTTTTTTGGTGTTTGAAGGAGATAGCTGGGTTATAGGATAGCATATTATAGTAACTAAAAATACCCCTGTTTAAGTGATTGTCATCCATAGATCTTGTGAAGACTTACAAAGATGAGAAGTTGTTAATATTACTATTTTTTAAATGAGGCTGTCAGGAGACACAAAGAGATGACATGACTTGGGAACTCTGTGACATAACTGAGAGCAGTTCCCAGATCATCTGAGTTCAGCTGTTTGCCATTTGGACTCAGTTTCTGACTAAGCAGGTGCTTTCCAGGCCCCATTAGCTTTCTGTAGTGCAGCTTCTTCCTTTTCTGCAGGGATTCCTCCTAGACAGTTCAGTACTACACCATTTATTTTTCTGGTCTCTGTCAACTATCATATCCATGTCTGCCAGGTAACTCCTCAACTTAATTGGTTTTTTTTCACTCTTGGCTTAAAAATAAGAAATTTCTAAGGTTGAAATAGGATGTGCTGCTAAGCAGGTGCTCACCTGTCTTCAGTGCCTTCACTTATGCAGTATTGTTGGCTGATCATTAGTATGCTTTGTTAATTCTGTTCTTTTTCCAGTTTTAGGCATTCACCTAAAACTCTTCTTTTACAAGCAGGGGGTAAAAGTCATGGCTCATTCCCATAACAATGTAACTTTTGTGTAGCTAGAGGTAGGAGTTACTGGGGTGACCTTTGCTTTTATTACCTTAACTGTTAGGAACTAAAGGAGAGAAAGAAGAGATGGAACAGCTTTTCAGATTTTTGGTTGCTCTGTGAGACAATATATGAGATCTAAAACTCTTCTTTTAGAAGCAGGGGGAAAAAGTCATGGCTCATTCCCATAAAAATGTAACTTTTGCGTAGCTAGAGGTAGGAGTTACTGGGGTGACCTTTTGCTTTTATTACCTTAACTGTTAGGAACTAAAGGAGAGAAAGAAGAGATGGAACAGCTTTTCAGATTTTTGGTTGCTCTGTGAGACAATATATGAGATCAAGAACACTTTGGGCTTAATTTCTCCCTTTCCTTAATCTCTGTGTGAATGACTGAAAGAAAAAGATTAGGTATCTTGAGAAAGCCCAAAAGCCTTGTTCAGTTCTGTACAGAAGCAGGCTTGCTTTTCCAGATAGTCTTCCTGTCAGAGGGACAGCTGGCAGTGAGGTGAAATCCAGATGTGATATGTGGGAATAATGCTGAATACATTGTAAATTGTAATGTTACATGACATTTTGTGGAAATATTAAATAATCCGGCTGCAGAAACTTAGATCTAGATATTGCTTTTCATCATGTTTTGTTTTGAATACATTTCTTAAAGCAATACTCTCTCAGAGCTGAATATGCTCTCAGAACTAAATACTCTGTGAAAATAATAAAAAGCACTTTCTGCTTTAGTTTTGCTTTACTTCCTGCAAAAACCCCCTTCTTCTCACTTCATCTGATAAGGTCAGATCCACATCATTACTGCTTGTGTCTGTGGGTGCCTCAGTTCCAGGAAAGCTTGCTAGCTTGTGGTAACTGAGTCTGGGGAAGGAAATTGTGATCTGCTTTTTGCATGAGTGTTGGGTTTGTCTCTGTGAAATCTCTAGAATGTGAAGTCTGCAGAATGCTGCTAAAGACTCGTTTGCTCATCGAGGAGAAGCTGTGTTACAAGTACTGCACATGAAAGCTAAGTACTGAGGCTGGAAAAATGCAAAAATAATCTAATTCCCAGAATTGCCAAAGACAGTTCTAGACTACCTCAGCTTGATGAAGCGTGGGTTTTTCTCTGAAGTAGGAGGTGGGGTGGAGATGAGAAGTATGTACCAGGCAGCTTCTTGATCAAACCCATCATCTTCGTATCACTGACAGTGCTCCTCTGAAGAGTGTGCATTTCAGACCACTGATACAAGAGCCTCAAATAAGGAAGGGTTTTAGGCAGAGCTAGAATCATGAGAGAGCTCCACTGGGGATACTGCTAACATCTGCCCTTCCCTGCCTCAAACCTGGCTTCTGTCTGGTTGGTAAGAGTTACTTCAATGCCTGCCCTGAATCAGACAGGCAAGATGAGTTATACTTTTCCTCATCTTCAGCCAGCTGGAGCTGCACTCAGAGAAATCATTAACCACAGCACGGAGTGTTTGATTTCTCTGTCAGGAAACTACCTACACAGCAGCTGTGGTAGGTGTAACAGCCGTTGTGAGGAGGAGGAAATGTAAAAGCAAGGATAACTGTGATCACGATCATTGTTGCTAATGAGCTGGAGAACCTGCTGATGGCTTCAGCAGTGGCCCTTAACACAACACACTGAAAGATGAAAGGCTGAAAAACATTGTTTTTAGCCATGGGAATGGTCTGGAGAGATCTATTTGCCTATTCTTTGCTTGTTGCTCCAGTCTGCAACGGTGAAGTATTACTCTTATTAGTAGATTGAGAGAGACAACAATAATCAATTACACATTACAATTTTCCACTGTTTTTCTTTTTATAACAAGAAAAAGACATTTTTTCCTATAAATGTCTTTTTTAAGCCTTTCGATTTAAGACAATACTGTTGATTATAAAATGTAAATATATTGATAAACATATGACTGTTCACGTGTTGCCATGTTTATCAATATACTTAGATCCAATTGTGTGGTCTATCTATCTATCTATCTATCTATTTTTCCACTGTTTTTCTTTTTATAACAAGAAAAAGACATTTTTTTCTATAAATGTCTTTTTTAAGCCTTTCAATTTAAGACAATACTGTTGATTATAAAATAACATTGATAAACGTATGACTGTTCACGTGTTGCCATGTTTATCAATATACTTAGATCCAATTGTGTGGTCTATCTATCTATCTATCTATCTATCTATCTATTCTGTGTGTGCACACAGAAATGCACCCAAATGCTTTGTTATTCACTATTGCACTGACAGCTAGTTCAGCTAATAAAAAATGTGCCAACTTCTGCACTTGCCTTTGCCAAAGGTGAATCTTTTCAGCGTAGATCACTCAATGTCTCTGTATTTTCTCGGTAACTATTCCAACTACCCTTGAGTACCATAGGTAAGAATCCTCCGTTTCTGCCATCTTTCATTAAACTACCATATTAGCAACTGTCCTGGAAAACAATGAATGAGCCATGTCCCTCAGGTGTTGAAACACACTTTACATATGTTGTGGTTTAGGAATGGTATTTTCCAATTCAGTAGTCCCGCTAAAACCACACTGCAGCTTGCTTCCCCTCCCCTCCAATTGGAAGCACAAAAGGCAAAGATCATGACTTGAGATATGAACAATTTAGTGGAAACAGCAATGAAATAAGAAAACAATAACAAAAGGTATAGGCAAGGAAACAATTTCCACGGAAAGCCTGGGACAATACTGACTGGCTCTTCTCTACCATTTTTCTCCCCACTGGAAACAAAAGATATAGGCAAGGAAACGATTTACACTGAAAGCCTGGAACAATACTGACTGGCTCTTCTCTACCATTTTTCTCCCCACTGGAAGGAACACCCTTCTCCTTGGAAGCAAGAATCCTGTATCCCTGCTCCTGGCAATGACCTGAGGCAGTATAGAAAAATCTCCTAGCCATGCCCACACAGCTCCAGGCTCACAGCTACTGCAAAATATTCACTCTGTCCTGGCCAGACCCCAGGACAACATATGACAACTGGATGTATTTCCTTAGTGCTGTGAGAAGATTGTGATATTAATTACCCTGATTTTGTTTAGATTGGAAGCATGAACATTTTATTCAAGGCATATATTTTCATTCAGAGGCAATGCTGTTCAGGTAAGAGCATGCCAGAATAAGGCTCTGGAGGCACGACTTTTCTGCCTATGCTAATGATAACTCCTTACTAATTTGCATGGTTGTAAGAAAGAACTGTTTATCCTCAGCTAAAAGAGAGATTGCATAGTGCTTTTAACAAAGCTTTACTTGCATCAACTGGTACTTTTAACTTTAAGAACTCTACTTCCATAAACTATTATTTTCAGCAGCTGTAAAATGTGTGATGTATATCTGGTTTGAGAAACCATGAGGACTAGCACTTCTAAATGTGCTTGATTCAGTGGCCATTCCCTAAACAGTGGGGGCAAAGAATAATTGAAGTAAGAAATTAAAGTGGGCAAGTAAGAGCCAAATCACCATACCCATGTGTAAGATGAAGGTGTTGGAGCATTCAGAAATATGGGTTTTTTGATGGTTATGTGAAATCATTGTTGAGTAGGGAAGGTTTTGGCTAAACTTTCCCTTGGAGGCTAAAGAAGCCTGCCTCAAGGAGTGACTTTGTGAGTCCTGCCCTTGTGACAATCTGTCTTTCCCTGGGGTGGGGCCATGTGGAGTCTGGGCAGACTGTGCAGGGCTCACTGGCCTCTCTCACACCAAAGCTGCACTTCAGTCTTAGAGTGGTTAGGACAGAGCAAAAGCCACGTTTGGCATGCAGAGAAACTGTGAGCCCTCTCCTGCAGTACCTCTGTCCTCTGCCTGTTTAAGGGGAAGGAACACTGTATTCTCTGAATCAAAGGCAGCATTAATAGAGTTCATGAATGGTTAGGGACAGAACAGTGTTCTATTTTGGGAAAATAGGGACAGATAGAGCCATGACAGTTCTTGAATGAAGTGCTGCCATTTTATGAGGAAAGAAAGAAAGAAGAAAAACACAGTGTCTTAAAGCCAACTGTTGTGGGCTTTTTTTTTTCCTTGAAAGTGCCCAGTGTTACTCTCTGAGCTGATGCTAGATCAAATTCACACCTGGTCACTATTACCCAGACATTTTATTTACTGCATCCATCTCTTTGACAATCAATACCTCAAGGACAAGATAAAAGAATCTTGGTATCCTGCATCCCATTAATTCTTATAATAAAACTTGCAGACACAGCAAAGACTGCATAAAACTAATGAAAGTTCCACATCAGCAAACACTGATTTTTAGTACACTGCCTTTTGTCATGTGTCTTTGTAAAGGGCTTTGAGATCCTTGAACACCTAAGGTGCTTCATGTGTCTGTAGCTCTTTCTGAATGAAAGTGTAGCTGCACAGTTAAATAAGACAAGTTGGTGTCCAGTGAATATAGAAATTAAGGCACAATCTTATCTTCAGGTGAAATGGATTATAAAACTGGAACATAAGGGACAGCACACAGTGTATGGCTAAAAAGATGAAAACCTCTGTAAAAAAAATTGTAAAAATTGTAAAATAGAAGAATTTGATGGGTCCCTTTCCTCTCTTACAATCTGAGAAGCATGTGAGCTTGAAACCCCCTATGGATGCAAGGGTTGGCACAAGAGATCAACAAGTCTATGAGAGGCTGTGTCTTATCCAGCAACATTCAGATTATCATCAACATCATTGTTTTCTAATGAAACACTCCCATAGGAAATTAGAAATTTGATTGTGCGTATCCCAGTCTAATGCCAGGAAATTTCAGTGCAGGTCTACCTAGGGTACTACCTGGCCTTTGGCTCACACTGCTGCTGCCTTGTGAAGAGGTCTTTAAATGCCATCATTGCTGAACTTAGTAGCACAAACAGAAAGTACAACTAAAAATATTCTTTGCCTGTTTTCCTTATGTGATTGTAGCTTTACAAAAATGTTTTTATATTTAAAAGACTCTCTCTCTCTCATCTGTCTTCAAGCAAGGCACCCACACAAACAACAGAAGATAGAATTATGCAGAGAAAACAGTAAAACTCATAAGACATTCTAGCAAAGGCATGAGTGAGCTCAGGAGTGAGAGGAAGATTACAGTTAAGCTGCTTTCATGCAGGTATTTGTGAAGAACAGTAGGTGTGATTTCAAATTGCTGGGATCCTTCCAATTATCCTTTTGACAGTTTTTCTGAAAAGCATAATTTCAGTGCTCTGAAGTGATAGTACTGTCGTTAAAGTTATCATAAAATTTGGTGTGAAGCTGCTGAAGGGAGAAGTTCCCAGTAGTAATGACCTACTGGCTTTGAGGGTTGGCCATTTCTGTAAGACTTCATTTTTTACACCATAATTCCTGTTGATAACTGTGATTCTAAGATTTGTGCCCTCAGGCAGCTTTAAATTGTTTTCAGAACTGTATGCACTCAATTAGGTATTTATTTTTTAAATATCATGAAAGGTAATTCCTCCTGTTTCTGCTTCCGTAAGAGATTCTAGTCTTAATTGCACATTAAAATGACAGCTCCTCTCAGCACAGAAAAGCTCACAGAATCAGATTGCTGAGCACATTCCAGGGTACTTGGCACAATTACTGGGTCCTGCACTAAATGCATGCCAGGCTGTGGTTCTCTCCAAAGGAGACACTGAGGGTTTCCAAGGGAAGCACTCCTGCTTGCTGGCATAGCTGGACTAGAAGGGGCACTGTGCAGGCCTTGCATGCCAGGTTGTGTTCTCTCCAAAGGAGACAGTAAGGGTTTCCAAGGGAAGCACTCCTGCTTGCTGGCATAGGAGCTGGACTAGCTGCACTGTGCAGGCCGTTTAAACCCCCTGCTCCATTAGCTGGCATCAATTTTTGATGCAGTGTATCCTGCCTACATTTGTCATTTTCTAGCTCACTCCGGCAACTGCTGCCTCCAGTATGATTTCACAGCCAAGGAACACTTCTGAACCCAGTTCCTGCCATATAAAAGAAAATGTAGACAGATGTTGTAATCAGGCCTGCAGCTATGGGAACTACCAGAATGGGTGACAAGCTATATTTGCTTTTTCACTCAATGTGCAAGTTAGAAGTACAGAAATCCTGTACTTCCACTCCACCCCTCTCTTTTCCTCCCTCAGCATTTTATAGTTCCCTAAAAGTAAGACAAGCTTGATTGGAATCTGGGAGCTCTGGGAGCTGCAATCCAAATTCAGAAGTGTCATTGATGGTTAGTGAGAAGCAGTTCAGTTGTGAATGTGGAAAAAGCTGCTTTCATTTTATCATTTCCAAATTTGTCCTGCCATATAGCAGTATAGTATGGGAAATGCAGTTGGGAACAGAAGAGCACTTCAGCTAGGTGGATGTGGTGAATGTTTCTGACTCTGCTCACCCTTCCATTGCCAGCTTCCCTGGCAGTGGGCAAGGCCTGGTGTGCCTTGCTCAAGTTCCTGGATCACACTCTCGTGGGGCAGGTACCTGAGCCACTTCTCAGCTGCCAGGTATCAGTCTCAGTCTTTGCTCCAATCTGATGTGCATCACCTATTTTGTCTGCTTTTTAGTTACAATGTTGTCTTCTTTTGTAATAAAGAGGAGAATTCATTATTGTGAAAGGCAAAATTATGACATTTGAGATATATTAGAGAAGATTTACCCTCCTCTTTTTTTCCTGATACTATTTTCTTTAGTTTCAGGTATCACCCTATGAAATACCAGCACTTCTGGATGAAAGAAGATACATCATACACCATAGAAGAAAGCATCCCCATTTCCAGCTTGGGGGGCTATGTTATCCATCTTTTAATGGGAAATGACAATTATGCATTTTAGTTGACAAGTTCCATTGTTTCCATCATAATTACTTTGTATTAAGAAAATATCAATGATGAACATGCATGTTTTGCTGCATAAACAACTGTGATAGCAGACTAGATTTCACATCTATTTTCTGTTCATTCAGGATTCATACTTAGTTATATGGTTGTGAGGTAATCCTTGTGATTATTACATATTTTTATCAGGGCAGAAATTTATTTTATATATTCCATAGGATAAGAAGTCTGTATAAAGGTAGGAATTATCCTCTACTTTCATGAAATGAGCACAATTTTCAAACTACTTAATGCAATAGATGACTAAGATGCCTAAAAGATACAGTTTCCGGCTGTTGAGAAGGGTGGCCAAAGTATTATAGAAGGAAAGAATTCTGTAGCATGTTAGTTTCTGCAGTAAACCAGGAAGACCATCATAATTTGTGCAGGCAATAGATGACTAAGATGCCTAAAAGATTCAGTTTCTGGCTGTTGAGAAGGGTGGCCAAAGTATTACAGAAGGAAAGAATTCTGTAGCAAGCATGTTAGTTTCTGCAGTAAACCAGGAAGACCATCATAATTTGTGCAATATCTTAGTGGATAAAGAAAAAAATGTGGAAAAATACTGATTTGGCTTCAAATCACAGAATTGTTATTATAGATTTTTAATAACTCATTAAGACATTAAATGGGTTTGTACTTTTTGAGAAATTGCATTTCTGTCTTTTGTTCTATTGTGGATCATTAGCATTCCAACCCATTATCTCTTGGAACTTTTCCTTACTAATGCTTGGAACATTTACTACTGCTCCTCTGAGTGCAGTGGAGCTGTTGGGGCTGAGCAGGGTCCCAGACTCCTTTGGTGCTAACAAATGATTTGTGGGTACAGCTTAGCTATCAGTTACTAGGCAGAGACAGAAACTGCCAGGACTTCGGGCTCCCTTGTGCTAAATCCATCAGGCTGAACAGATTGTAAACTGCCCATTGCAAACACGATAGGCAGCAATTCAGCATCCAGTTAATACTTCATTACCTCCATTCCTTACATTTATTCCTTACATTTATTCAGGAGGGAAGCCTTTCCCTCCTGAAGCTTTCTGAAATTGAATTTTCCAGTCTACACTGAGCAGTTCAGATTTAATAGCAATAGTTGTGCATATTAGCTTCTGAATGATTTGAGGGCGTATGGATTTTTTTTTGCATTTTGTTGGGTAAGTCTGAAGCATTTGTTTCTATTATTTTTTGTTTGACCATCTTATTAAAAAATAAGAGAAAAATACTTTCTTGATTTGGGGGCTTTTTGTTGTTTGTTTGTGGTAATAAGAATGCTTCTCAGAAGCAGAGTTTTTCAGAAGTAGAGTTTTTAATAAGCTTTTCAGAAGAAGAGTTTTTAATACAGTCTATAAATAAAGTAAACCTCTCACAATTTGCTTCTTGGTTGTTTTTTCTCCTTATTATAGAGAGCGACTTACAGAAAAAGAGACATATTTGTCTCAATTCACTACAGAATTGCTAAGGCTGTTTTGGTTGGTGTTTAAATGCTTCAAGTGATTTAAGCTATCACTTTTCTCCTTCAGTAATCCAGAGATCTTGATAGGGCCAGCCCTGCTTCTTATGACCCCAACTTAATTTTCATTCTCTTATAACTTAATTATATTCTTATTCTTGCTGCCTATAACCTACCTCTTTTCCTTAGACAAATAAACTGTGATTTGCTATTTTATTACCCAGTTATTCCACAGCTCTCCAAGCATTTGGTTTTACTACCCTGGAAGGTTCCACCTTCTAAGTTACCTTTAAGAGCTCCATAAACGAAACCCAAAAGGCACTTTCAAGCTTTTCTTGTCTGCTGAGTAAAGCTTACCTTGTCTTCTAACTGTGATCCAAACTACAGGAAATAATGGAAGAATGGGAGGACATTGGTGAGGATGGTAACAAAAGATGTGATCCTGAAGTAATTCTGGTTGAGAAGGATTTCAGGTGGTCACTGGTCCAATCTCCTTACACTTGAGGAGGGACTGAAAACAACTGGTTTAGTCTTGCCATCTTTTCCTGAGGTTTGGTTTCTCTCCTTCCACATCCTTGTAACTCCTTGTCCTCATCTCTGGCTTTGTCAGAAGTGAACATGTCAGGGGAGAAAGCATGTCTTGGAGCAGCCTTTCAAGCACAAGATGATGGGCAGGAGGGAAGAGCCTCAGAAATCAGAAAGGGAAAAGAGACATGAAGGTGGAGAAGGGGGGTGTGTGTGTGAACAGAATTGGTGGGGAAGGTGGAACTGATGGAGCAGAGAACTTGCAAAATGGACAGGAGACTGAACAGGCAAAGGGAACTGGAGGGAAGGCAGAGACCATCTTAAATACCAGCACCAGATAAGCTGCTGATACAGCCTCTGACATCTCAAAGGGCTGGAAGAGCAGGGCTGCATTTTCCCAAATGTATTAAATGGGCTGAGGAGCTTCTTAAGGTGTTCAAAAATTACTTGAATTACCTGGTGTTCTGGTAGGCCCTCAGAAGGCTGTAATGGAAGGCTGTGAAGAGGAGATAAAAGTGGGAAGACTGCTAAGGAGCTCTTAGCAAACATGTGCTCAGGGACTTTTGCAGGGCAGCCAATAGAGGGAGAGTGAGCACTGCGGATCCACAGTGATCAAATTAACTGTTCTTTCCTATTCTTTTCTTTTTCCTATTTCTTTTCTATTCTTTCCTTTGAGCTCTTCCACTTTTAATGTTCCACCTCTGACTACCTTTCAGTTAATGCAGATTTTCATTTTACTTCAGAAGTGCATTATTCCTGTTCTGCTCAGCTAATCAGATGTCATCTCTTGTTTATGCTGAAAAAATATTTTTACGGAGGCTTTTCTATAATCCAGCCTCGGAAATTGTTCTTATTTCCAGAGAGCACATTCTTTGTTTTTTCTTTTGAAAATAATTTTCGTATCCCATCTTTTTAACAGAGCTGAATTTTTTACATTTTATTTTAAATTTTTAATTCTAAAACTGTACACTGTCATCAATATGAATGCTGAAGTAGGAGACAGCATGGAAAATGTATAAGTTGCACAATAAAAGTAGCTTCAGCAACAAACCTGAGACAGAATAAAGTGTTTGAAGTCCAGAGGGCTTTCCAGTCCAACTGTAAGTACTCCAAAGTAGGTCAGACTGGCTGATGGCATCATGTTAAGCCTTACTCTGAGATGGTTTTCAAAAGAACTCAGGAAAGTCCTTTTCCATGCTCTACATTCTTCTGAGACTAGCAGAAAGGATAGGGCTGTCATCTGAAATAGAACTGAATGTCTCAAAGATAATCCTATGAGCTGGGTGAATGCCTGTATGATAAAAACACTTCGGTGAATCAGAAAAAAAGGGGAAACCTGTATTTGTCATTCAAAATACTGTGGTGTTTCAGACTCCTTGAAATTGTTATGAATCCTGACTGGTGAGTGACACTGGACATTACTGGTCACACACATCATTAAGAAGCATCCCAACGGGTAATGACTGTGATTTTGTATGACATGACTGAGGCACTTTTTGGAGGAAGATATTAACGGCTTCAGTGGGTGATTTAAGCAGCATGATAGAAAGTGGAAGAGACAGTTCTTTTGTTCAGCTGTCTCTAGCAATGGAAGCTGGAGTGTAGGAGGAACTCATAGGGAAGAGATGTTTACACATGAATAGACTATACCCTAAGAAGCAGTAAACAACCTTCAGCTTGCTTTGGTTTATTTACCTAAAAAAAAAACCAAATTCAAGAAAAAAAGAAGTCAGTATCCTTAATATACAGCGAATTACTTCTTTAACAGTCTAATTCCAGCTCGTTCTTCAGGGATGACCTGTAACTGTGGATCATCTGCAAGGCTGTAGGCATGCAGACATTGTTTTAAGTTTCATCCTGACAAATTTCGAACTTAGTGCACAAGCCTGCCTCCTTTGTTGCTGCATAACAGGGTGGGTGTGCTCAAAAGTGAATGGAATGCCATGGAAAACACATCTGCTCAAGAAAACATTCTCATAAGTACTTAAAACCTAGTAGTTTGCCAAGTGCCAAGGCTCAGTGTACTAACCTGGAAAAGGGTGGTGATGAAAGAAAGAACACTCTCCATTAAAAGTTTAAAGCAACATCTGTTTTTGTCAGCCTCCCAGTAAAATCATACTCATCATTCCAAAGGTAAATAAAAAAATCAGAAAGTAAATTATTTCACTGAGAATATACTCCCATCACATTATTCTTCAAACTTTTAGTGTACTGTCTCAGTTCAGCATCTCAAATTATTTATTTGACTGGTGGAAAATACAAATCAATGTAAACAAAATATTCTGGCTACATCCATACAGTACTTTGCTACTGAAATATTATTTACCCTAAGTTGATTTAAAGATCCGACATTCAGTTTTCCTAGAAGAAGATGGCTGAATCAGATGGGAGTATCCCTATGCTTGCATACTGCCCTGTTCCCCCTCCTACATTGTATGGATGTAAATACTTCAGTTCTCCATGTTACTTTTTATAGCTTCTTTTACTTCAGGCTAAGGTATTTTATTCATAAATGCATAATTTAAACAAGACAATGAAACCTCTCGTAAGGAGTATCTCAGATAAGCAATCTTTGTCTTAAGAATGCTCCTCAGTGATTTCAAACATTATCTCCTGAGGCTTCTGATATTATATTCAGCCTGTAAAAATGAATTTGAAGACTGTACATCTTCTACTTACCCAGAAAGATATCTCTATGTCTGTTAAATTACAGGGTGCCAGGAAATAGATTTTGTGTAATAAACCTTATTTATATATATATATAAAACACAAAAAGACCTTTCTGTCCACTTATTTGGACTCAAAGAAGTTACCATGTGCAGAGCAGATACATGGTTTCTCTTTTCTACTGAACACAGAAACTGCCTCACGCTCTACTTAATTATTTTTATGATGTATGAACTATGCTTAAACATATTAAAATGTTAACTGCAAAAATTAGCATTTAAATACAATTAATGAGTATACCAAGAGAAAAAAATACAAAATAACGGAAAGAAACATAATAAATGTCAAAAATTCAAGAGAACAGGCTATGTAAAATACTGGAAGGTTCTTCCTAAGAGGTAAACTAGCCTAAACAAGTTCTTAGGTCCAAAACTGAGTATTTTAAACTACAGATATGGACAAATTAGCACGGTTGCTAGTGTTATGAAATGTCATTCCTACTGCTTGCTTATGCCTTAACTATTGCCTCAGAAAAAAGATGATTGCTTTGACAGATGACCTCCACACACAAAGCAATTTTTTCGTAACTTCTTGCTACAACTTCTATTTCTGAAGGTAGGCATCAGTAAACCCCAAATCGTTAACCCAGTAATACATCTTAGAGAAGGCTGTTTAGCAGGTGTTTTGATTGCCAACCAAAAGGGAAATTTCCTATCCCCTGCATATTTAAAATATTACTTTTGTCTCCTGTGTTGTTCAACCACTGAAATGAGGAAATAGACCTAAATTAATATAAACTTATGGGTCAGCAAATACAGAGCTATACCCGTAATCTTAACTGGCTCAGAAAATTTATTTTCAGTATAATTCTTTATGCATAACCTCCATAATTTTCACTTACCTATTGCTGTACAACTCCTTCAACACAAGGTGTTATGTTAGTGTTACATATCCATATGATGTTATTATTTGCTACTGGAATTAATACTTAACAAGCTCAACACTTTGACAATTTGTTCATGTTGGCAAAAATTAAATACTGAAACAATTTTCTGAAATATAGTTTTTAAGCTGCAGTTACAAATCAAACAGTATAAATGGTAATTTGAAGTTAAATGTTTTAAGAAACTTTACATTCCAATTTGTTTCATACATTGTTTATAACTGAAAGGGTCAACATTTAGAATTCGTATTTAAGTCAATGCTAATATCAATAAACTTCTGTTTAAATTAATGCAAAGCATGAACTGCACTGGAAAAGAAATTACTCACTTTACTAGCTACTTCTAAAGTCTTAAAGTCTGAAAGAGTTTTAAAATGTTCAGTACTGTGTGTGCAAAACCGCATTTAGTGTCTTCAAAGAACTCTAGTGGCCAACTTCTCTTGTACCAGCTCTTCTCCTGGCACAGCTCAGGACTTTGGGTCTGTGGTTGCTCTCAAGCTGACAACTCCTGGGCTTTTGAACAACTGGTCTGGATATGGGAAATTTGCAGAACTGGAAGCAGTAACTGGAAAGCATCCTGAATATAAGTAGTACTGTTGCAGCCCTAATGGGGAGAGAAAACATGGTTAATCAGTACAGCTGCCACGTACTTCAGGAATGACACTGGACTTTTCTTTTTCCTTTCTTTTTTTTTTCTTCACATCTGCATCATGCTGTATTAGCATTGTCTTCACACAAGATTTTAGAATCTGTAGATAGCATAGCCTGAATATAGAAATATAGAAAACTCTGACTGCCGCTAAGTTTGAACTCTAAGGCAGTTTTGTGGGTAATATGAGTAGAATAAAATGCCACAGTGTTCAGAAGCAGATTTGACTTTTAAACACAAACCAGCTAGTCTTTCCATCAACTGAACTAATTTTGAATTTGCTGTAGGTAGGAGAAGTGTCACTGAAATTAACAGTTCAAATTATAATGGTTTTAACATGTAGTACTATTTTTGGAATTTCTAGTACTGAACAGTATAGCGTCCTGTAATTCTCCATGATTCTAGACTGTATTAATACATATTTGTATACAACTAAGGGATTTATGAAGTACAGAACATTGCATTCCACAATTCTAAATATTCCTAGAATTTGCAGTTCCTGTAGCACAGGAAGGTAAGTCAGTAGCTACAGCAAATTTACCCTACAACAAAAGGAACTGCATGGTATTCTTCACTACAGCTCTATTCAACTTTCTGTAATTTTCCTTAAAGGTACTGTTAATTCAGTGCAAAATTGGCTATTGTAAAGAAATCTTCTCTTTATTTTTAAGGGAATGCAGCTATTAAATACAGAATGACAATTTATGGTCACTACTATATGTTTCCTTATGTTTTAAGGGAAGTGTGATCTAACAGAGTTAAAAACTTGTGCTGCAGTTCCTATGAGTTTTGGGACTTTATGAGGATCTTCATCTCAACCTCTTCTTGATAAAATTGAAGTATATTTTATTTACTGTGCTTTTCTGAAGAAAAATAGAACATGGTGTCAAATAAAAGAAATCACTCATGAACATTTTGGTGGTCTGACACATGGTTATCCATGTGCTGACCAAGGCTGTTGCTAGACTGTGAATCTTTGTAAAAATCTAAATGCCTGCAGATGAGAAACACTGTAGCATACCTACAATCCAAATTTTAAAGGAAAGAATACTCTGGAACTGCAACTTGTTGCTGTGCTCTGACCAATACAGCAGCAGAGTTTCAGAGTGGCCAGCCTCACTTCAGTCATACAGCTCTTAAGAGTCCTCAGTAAATGCAACCTGACTACTACAGTGTTTGTGGGAGAGGCTGAACACAAAATTTATGTTCTGGCACTGAACAGCCGGAATGATATTGTCATTACTTTTTAAATAGTTTTGGAAAGCCTTTGGAAATAGCCTTTGGAAAGAAATGTGCCTATCTCATTCAAAATAATTTTATTAGAACATTTTCTAATGTGAAGAGGTGGAGCTTACCTCTAATAGTACACTGTTGATGATGGGGTTAAGAACCTCTGCCTTCATATTGCTCTGTAAACCAGAAAACAGAATGAAAAGCCAGGTCAAGAAATACACTCAACAGAAATATACTGATATCTGAGATGTTGTTTTATGAATTCTGTGGAAGTCTTCTTTCACCTTGATTCTTACTCAGACTGTTTATCTCAGTATTACTAGTAACTGTACACCTTAGTACACCTATGTACTTCTATCAGAGTACAATAAGCTCTGTGTACAGTGAAACCTGAGGCCTGTTGTTTTACTTCTTCATTAATTCAAATTGTCTACTTCCCTACAGGTGTGAGGTTTATGTAATGACATTATTTATCCATCTGTCTATCAGCAATGTTTTCACATCCCACAAAATTCCCATCTCTCCTTGCTCATTTTCATGGACACAAAAAGGAAAAAGATATGTCAGAGAAAAAGGAAGGTCTTAGAAGTTATGCAAATATCTGTGGTTAGGACCAAATGAAAGGTCCAGGGTAGCTCCCCTACAGAAGGAAAACCAGGTGAAACTGAGATCCCCAGATGGAAGCAGCGCATGTGCTGGGCAGTATAGAGTGGTCAGTGGAACAGGTCAGCATGCACAACATTCTTCTCAAACACCAGAGAGGAAGAAAGATGGATACAATGAGTAGTAACTCTACTAGAGGCTAAAAAAAAATCAAGATTCATTAGCTCCTCTACTTTTTAAAATGGCAAAAGTCCTTCCCTTTTTTATTCTCACTGTTCTTCACACTGTGGTTCTTTAGAACAACAGTAACCTCCAGCAAGAGTTGTTTTCTTTCAACACTGTATCAGGAACAGTGTGGCCAGCAGGAGCAGGAAGGTCATCCTTCCCCTGTACTGGGCACTGGTGAGGCCACACCGTGAGAGCTGTGTCCAGTTCTGTCCCCTCAGTTTGGGGAGGAGATTGGGACACTCGAGTGCATACAGAGGAGGCAACGAGGCTGGAGAGGGGCTGGGAACACAAACCCTGTGAGGAATGACTGAGGGAGCTGGGGGTATCCAGCCTGGAGAAAAGGAGACTCAGGGGTGACCTTATCACTCTGCAACTCCCTGAAAGGTGGCTGAGGTCAGGTGGGGGTTGGTCTCTTTCTCCAGGCAGCAACTGACAGAACCAGAGGACACAGTCTTAACCTGTGCCAAGGGAAATATAGGTTGGATGTTAGGGAAAAGTTATTTACAGAAAAGGTGATAAAGTACTGGAATGGCCTGCCTGGGGAGGTGGTGGAGTCACCATCCCTGGATGTGTTCAGACAAAGACTGGATGTGGCACTCAGTGCCATGGTTTAGTTCAGGTGTTAGGGCTGGGTTGGACTCAATGATCTTGAATGTCTTTTCCAGCCTAGTGATTCTGTGATTCTCAACACAATACTGATTAATTTAACTGAGGGATTTCCACTTACAACCTTGTAGCTCTCATATTACAGATTTATGGAAACATGAAATTTCTTAATTTTAGTTTTGAGAAAGATGGCAGAAACAATAAGAGATACTTAGAGAAAATAAGTACACTTTTAGTTATAGAAAATCCATTACAAAATGCACTGTTTAGTGGGCCAGTTTAATCTTTTGTGTGCAATTTATTTTTATATTTTTGTGCATGCATTCACTTCCAGTGTCCCACAGATATATGGTAAAGTACAATACCAAAATGCAAAATAAGCATTTTTTCCTCACAGTAATTGGAAGTTATGTAAATTATTCATAATAAAAGCAAAGAAATAAATCATGTCCTTTACAAATAACTATGAAAAAACATGCTCAGAGATGTGCTGGCAGAGCTAATGGAAAACTGGAAAAATTTCCTTTGAATTACATTCCTGTTTTCATGGAACAATCAGGAGAACAAGAATTTGCTCTCCTCTGATGTTTACAGAACAATTTAAGCAACAGCACAATTTTTACCTCTGAATCCTGCTATAATACTGTGACGTCAGTTATCCTTGAAGCATCTTGAAAAGTAGGATACTATTTCTAGCAAAGATGTTCACAGATAAATGGATGTTCTTAAACAGAATATCTTGTGATAGAAGACAGAGTGATTTTTTAAGTTGGACCAAACAGATTTTCTAATCTCTGCAAACACTGCAGTGCTAAGCCAGGGGATCTAGTAAAGGCTAAGAAGGACAACTCGTGAAACCATCTTAAGGTACTGCAAGTAAAATCTGTTAATGACTTTTACACAAATGTGTTCAAAAGGGATAGGCCGAGTCGGAGAAGAAATTATCATCAAGCTGTGTAACTTCAAATGTGGGACCCTTCAATGTGAGAAGTGTTCAGGGTGATCAGGAAAAACAGGAAGTGGTTTCTAGAAAGAGAGATTTTACAAGGCAGGGAAGTGCTGTTATCTGTCAAGGGGTATAAACTTTCCTGCTGTAGAAATGCTCTGTGCTCTTGATATGAGGAAAGAAGTGGACTCTTTGCTGATATAAAGCCTCTGGACCCACATAAGAATTTCTGTTTCAAGAGGTGAACTATGTTAAAAAAAGCCCAAATGCTACAGAAAATGCTGTCATCTTACCCCAGCTGCTGTTACAGAATCTGAAAACTTCTTTGATAAAGATGAAACTTCATTGCACATGGCACTTGTTAAACTGGTTTTAAAAAAACAAGAGAGACAAATATAAAAATACATCCTTGATCTGTTAATAGATAAAAACCCCATGACAAACTTTATCTTGGAAGCAAAGATGTTCTTAAAGCAATTTTGTTTCTAAATATTTTTAAAATATTTATGCATAAACTGTTCCTGATAAAGTTTTTATATTCCTTCACTGAAAAATCCACTGCTGACTACAGCCGCAATATGATGTGGTGTTGTACACACCAGTCTGTTTTGACAGTGCAATGTTTCATTTGTTTAAATTCTGAACTTCTAGTTTAACTATGGTTTTTCTGATGATTGCAGCAACACAATTTCTGGGAATACTGTTGGAAATAAATCAAACCTGAATGAGAACAGTGAGAAGTTTTCTACGTGAACAATAAAACCTCTACTCTATGCTAAAAGAGAAAGACCACTTGTGGTTAAAATATGAGGGAACAATTCCGGTCCGAGATCTTTCATTATTTTCCTAGACATTCCCAAGTGTATCCCGTAGGACCACATCCTGCAAGGTGCACTGTACCTTAGCTCTGATTCTGAAAAATACTTAGTAAGTGCTCTATTTTAGAGTGAAGTACTCCTTACTCCTATGGACTTTGCTATTCTTAGTAGCATTCTTAAGGATAAGCACTTGGTTAAATATTTTACTTACTTAGGAGTCAACTGTTTAAAATATCTTAACATGAAAACTTACTGAAATCAGTAGATTACAGAGAGCTGAGATTTGAGTTTGGAGTCCCACTAGACTGACTGGCTTGAAATTCTGGGTGTTTCATTATAGTTAACTACAAAGTTGCTAACAAATGTGGTCTGTTGTTTAGAACTACAGATTTATTTTTGTGTTATTTTTGGTAGATAAACACTAGATAATGAAACTCTGTTGGCAGATAACAGGACTGCATTATACACTCTAAAAGCAAACTCCATGTATGCAGGCACAGTATCTTCTGCAGAGGGAACAGGAAATCCAACTCAAGTTGGCATGCACATTTGCTTGCTGGAGCAGAAACAACTTTTAGCCAGCGTATAGGTCATGTTTTCGTAAGCATACAGATGTCAGCCATGTCAAAGAATGACAGGTAGCCTATAGAACCTGATTTCATGAGAAAGTATAGCACCAGGATCCCTGAATACAGTGCTGTTTGTTGATCCATGAACTTACTGTGCCTTCAAGCTAAATGGAACTTCATGAGTTCTATGTAAATGTCAAATGCTCATATATGAAGTACATAATACTCACTTTGTCAGTACTTTTGCTTGATCTTGAGCTGTTTTTTCTACTTCCTGCCCATGTAGAATTAATTCTGCTACTTTATGAAGCTGTTCAATACAACGAGCAGTTACCTCAGCCAGACTTTCAATGGACAGCATGTAGATTTCCTTAAATTAAAAATGGGAATAATATAATCAATAATAACAACACTGATAAATGTTAAATACATACAAAAGAATATATATAAAAGAATTTCAAACGTATAAAAAGAATACAAAAGAATTTCAAACACAGGAACCCTTCCTACCCCAACTACCCCTACACCACATACATAGTGAAGTAAAATCAGCCATAATGTCATCCTCACAAACAATACTGGAAAATTAAATATTCAGACTATAAAACACAGACATTCTACCTGCTCTGAAAAATCAGTAAGATCAAGTCTACTGTTTACTTGGCTGGGAACTAGGTCAGGCTCTTGGATTTTCTAACATAGCACTTTTAAACCTCGTCCTAACAAACAGAAAGATACTTAAACTCTAGAATAAGTCATAATCATAATAATTTTCATATGGAGGCAGAAGTACTGAGTCATCCTTTAGCTGAATCTCTAGAGCAGAAATAGAATATGCACCCAATAAAAAATTTGCTTTTATCAACAATTACAGGAATTTTTACATAGCACTGTGGGGTTACAGCTTTCACAAGCTGATGCCAGCTGGTAATCTGCAATCACATAAAAATCTGTAATATATACAGTGTATGTATTCTGTCTGCTTCTTTAGACTTTTTTGTAAGGAAACATGACAGATAATTTCTAATTAGAAATAATCTCAACAAAGATAGCAACCACATTTAATATTGCCATTAACTTGACAGAAAGTACTCAATCACAATTAACCTTATCAGAACTGTCCAAATGAATACTTTTAGCCTTAAGAGCTAGCTTTCATAAAGAGAATTAACAGTTGTTAGTTGCCTAAACAATATTTCTGTTTTGTCTGTTTATGATTTAAATTGTCAAAATAGTTTGAACATTTTCCCATGTACTGTCACTGAGAGAAGGAGATACTAAGCAACACTGAGACACAACTTTCAGCTCACTGTATGTTGAGTATATACATGCATACACACCAAAACACAGATATAAAACCATAAAAACAATGTGATAGAGAACCTATTACTTTGATATTCACTTGTGGAAAAAGAATAACAGTAAGAATATTCAGTCTTCAACTGGGTCTACAGTGAATAGTTGTATATTACTATTTCTTATTACTTCCATGAATTTAAAAAATAAAGATGACATATAAAGCCAACACACAAAGAAACAATCTTATCACTTAATGAAGCTTATCCTCCAAAAGTTATTTTACCTCCACAGTTTTGCTTTTGTCTACTTCTGTTATATCACTCTCAATCTTATTGTCTTTTTGAGTCTTTTCTTCACCAGGTTCTTCAGGTTTTTCATTTAGCTCCTCTTCTATGTCTGCTGGGGTGGACAAACTAGCTTCTTCCAGCCATTCATGAGCTTTTTTCCTAGCCTGCCAAACAAAGAACCCAACCCCAAAGTTCAGTTTGAGAAGAGACTATGAGATGACATTCCTGAACATAAATTAACAATACATTTAATCACTTCCTCTTTATACTCAGAAATTTGAATGTATCAAACCTCTGAGTGGCATTTAGTTAAGTGTACATTTAAGAAACTGTAGGGAGAAGCATTTTGGACTGCATAGAGATGGATTATCCAGGGATAATTCCTCTAAACATATAATATTCCTAACCAACATGTACAGCTGGTGTTAATTCCGAAGTTAATATTTCTGCTTTGTCATTCAACATGAATTTACAAAATTTTGTAAGAAATTTTTCTTACACAGTTTCCCAAATAAGAAAATAAGAAGTGTGTATAAAAAAGAAAAGAAAAATTTGAAGAGGTAAGATAGATGTATTAAATTCTTAAAGGAAAAATAAACATAAAATCACTGTATCTTGAGCTGCTTTCCCTGACACGCAAATAGATCAAAGGTGAAGAGTCTTGAGGCTTTATACAACTTCAAACTACTGCTATGCTTAGTAGGAATTTTATGATGCCACTTTTTTAACAGGAAATCAAATTAAAACACATTAAGACCTAAGCCTAAGCTAGTTATCCATAGTCTATCTACGTAGCTAAGAGATAAACATTCATTGGAGCTTAAGATCAGAAGATGAACCAGCTTTAAAGGGACCTGATAGTACAAATGTGACTAGTTATGTGACTAGCTCCTAGACATCTCACTTTTGTGGTAGTAGCTCTCTGGCTACAGAGAGCAGCACACAACTCACTTTTAGAGCAAGAAAAATTATTCTGAACCTGACTTTTGTTCCCAGTATGTAAGATCAAATCTGCTGATCTCATGAGCCCTGTTCTGCTGAAACACCTCTGATTCGAGCCTTCTAACACTGGAAAGAGCTCATCCATCTGCACTGCCTTACTCATCTTCTGTGAAAGATTTTCTGTATTCAGCATTTTAGTCTCCATCTACCATACTTTGCTTTCTGAGCTGTCTGAAGTGAACTGGGTACTGCTCTGTGTCAGATTTTAGAACAAAGCCCTCCTTTTTGCCCAAGAAACTTAAGGCAGCTCAGTAACAGGTGCTAACCTTATTTAGCTTGTCAGGAGTAGCAGCAACATGCAATTCAAAGAGCAGTTCTGTGAGCATGCTGACAAACTCTTCTCCTGTATCTGCTGCAAAAATAACAAGACAGTTTTTGTTAGCATGTTACTGCTATAGTATTTCATATGATCAAATACATCCAGTGAAATAGTTTCACCAAGTATTCCAGCACTTGAAAAACAGTGACAGTGACTCAAGAAAGGAATGTGTGGAGGTGTGTTATGTATATGCACCAAAATTACTGATAACTGGAATATTCAACTGACTGTTCATTGTGGTTACTGTCTTAACCTCACATGAAATTTTTGGTGTTAATAGCTATGAAAATGTAGGCAAAACCACTTTTTCAAATATTCTCCTCATTATTTCATAAACAACAGAAATGAAGCTGCAGTGAAAAATCCATGAAAGGGCTACATAATCAAAGTGAGAGGAAACATTAGAGGGAAGGGTATGTGTGTGGCCTTCTGTTTTCTGTACCAGAAAACAATCATAGTTGTTTCCGCAGGCTTAGGAGGAAGGAATGTGTTTCACTGATGAGTGGTTTGCTTTTGCAAGGACAAATCTGCAGCACACTTTGGTTTGGTATCTTTTTTTAAGGTGCTCACTGCCTTGGTTGCAGCCCATTCAAAACCTCTGAAAATGTTTCAAGGAGCAGGATAAGCACTTGTGATTTACTGAAAAAACCAGAACTTCTGACCTTCAGAGAAAACATCACTTTGTGCAAGAAACAAAGCTTCTCCTGGGAGCTGGTTTCAAAGCAAGGAACAACTTTCCACAGAAATTATGGAACAACAGACATCTCAGGAATCCTCACTCCTAACCAGGTAATGACTTGACTTCTATTGCACACAACTCCATAGAGGTATGGGGTTTAAAGAGCACGTGAGGGGGAAAAGCCAGCACAAAACTTTACCACATTAAGACTTTATGCTGAGCACTTGCTGTTCCACTCAATGAGAAACAATGAGTTTCCTGTGAGAGGGATCAGGCAAGCTGAGTAAGCACTGCCAGAAAGAGCAGTCTGAGAAGAAATTACTCTCCTATTAGAACATAGGAGAGTATGGTTTTTCTAACTTTTCTGAAGGCTAACGAAATCTTATCTCACCATCTTCCAAAATGTAGGTTATATGGGCAAAGTAACCCTGAGAAATCCAGAGGATGTGGAAGAAATATCCTTTTATGTTTCTTTGTTTCCAAAACACAGCAATACGGCATTCAGTGGCGTAACCCAGTCTTCAGTCAGGTCAAGGGGATTTTTGCTGTTAGCTCTGAGAGGTTTGGTATGGATCTCACAGGCCTGGAGACATAAACCATGCTGCCTTTAAGCTGACTTCTTACCCTTCTGTTCTAACCTGTTTGGGGAACTGCTAACATTTCTGACCTGTTTAAGACACCTATTTTGCCCCTAACCAAAGCACTCACCCATTTTATTGTAATTTTGGGAGCTCTGTCCATTCTCTTCAATGCTGTGCCATGTCATAGCTATGGAAACACTTATACTGCTCTAACCTCCTTCCCACACTCCACACGCCACATCTTGCCAAGCAATACCTATAATGCAGCTTTGCTACTATGTTTCAAAGTCACTTTCATTAAAAAAAATCCAGGATTCTTAAATTTCTTTATGATACTCAAATCTTTTCCCCCATCTAGCAAGGGGGGTGCAGAATGTGGTTGAACTTGCTGAATAGAAAATAATTTCTAAGTACTTCAAAACTTTCAGATGATGCAATTTCTGTAAGAAAAGCTCAGTTATCAAAAACGTTATTATTTTCCATTTTTGTTTTCATTAATGATATAGCAAAATAATTTAATATTTATTTATGTTTGCATAACTTGAACTTCACTTAAAATATAAATTCAAAATTAAGCACTGATCAGCTTCCAGAACTTTTAGATTATTCATTTTAGTAACTACCTTATGAAGACTATTAGGATATGAGAAATTACAGTGTGGACTGGATTTTTTTTTAATTACTGGATAAAGAAGTAGCAATTATTCATATGGTTAAGTCTCTGTATTTCTAATTACCTTTCTGCGCCTGCACCACTTCATCATCTAATTCCTTTGGAACAAAGATCTCTTTTATAGCAATTAAATCATTTTTCACAGTCTCCAACTGTTCTCCATCAAGTGTTGCTAAATGTGACTGAATCTGTAAAAGAAAGGATAGTATTACTAAATGCTGATTTAGAGCCTGAATCCAAAATAGACTAAGAAATGGAAACTTCATTATGTTCAAATCTTGTCTCTAACCTCCCAGCTTAGACATATTTTTAGATCTTGTCAGTAGAACTTCTTGAGTATCACAAAAATTACACTAGCCTTGCCAGATCATCAGGTCCCTTCCTTCCTCCAGAACATGAGTTTTGTACTATAAATCTAATCTATGGTTTAACTGCAAACTGTTTTGGGATTTCCTGGATGAAGACAGCAGGCAAAAAGAGCACAGGCATAATGGTTAGTTTGAGCACTCGTGTGAAGAGATGGAAAAGGTTGCCTTCAAAGTGCAGCCAAAATTATTGACAGTCTACCTATTCTGAAGAATGTACTGGCATTCTTTGCATGTCTCAGCTATCTGCAAGTCCCTGCATATCTAATAGGATGGCACACCTAAGAGGGATGGAAACAGATTCTTTGAACCACTGTTTGTACTACAGTCATATGGCGACAATTCTGTGAGCAGAGCTCTCCTTCTGCCTATGGCAGCCAAGAGAAATGCCCTTAACCCCCTTGATCCAAACTTTTACCTTTATGTTTGTTTCAAGGGGCTTTTTTAAAGCTTGCTGGACAGATGTACACTCTGCCTCAGTGCAAGGCTGGACACAGCTGTTACTTTCTTACTGGTGTGTCCTTGTCCAGCTCCTGTGCTCAGGGTTAAACCCAAGATAAAGCCGTGGTACTCGAGTCAGGTTGTGAAGGGCTACACAAGGCTTATCCTCCCTTTCTATAGCAGTATCCATTTCAAGGGCTAACTGAAAACCTCCTTTAATGGAAACTTTTAAAATAAAAGCTTAAACACACTTGTCTTCAGTACCTCTTGCACTCCTCCTGTGGCTTTTGGGCTGTTGGAAGTGGTTTCAAGTACTCTTTCTGTATTCTGTGTCTGTGTGTATCTGTGCATGGTAAATGGAACATTTATCTGAGTACTGGACTTGTTGACCCACACAGTCACCACCAATGCTGTTGGACTGAGCAGGACTATGTTTGTGTCTAGGACATAAATGAAGTGCATCAGAAACCTCACAGTAACAACCTGCACATGTCTGGCTTACCCTGTGGTATTTCACAGTAAAATAAAAATATTGTTGACACATGCAATTAACCTGAACTTGTTTTCTATCTATCTATCTATCTATCTATCTATCTATCTATCTATCTATCTATCTATCTATCATCTATCTCTCTCATTCCTCTCATATTCTCATAGCCATTTTTGGTTTTGTTTTTTGCTCCCAAAAGCAGACCCTTGAACCTTACATGAGTGGTTTGAAGCTACAGTTTTTCATCTAGATAATAACAAAAAATAAAACCAACATTGACAATATGCACCTAACAGTCATTAATATAAGCTTCTTTTATTCGTGAGAGCAAATATTTAAATTTCATTTAAAATGAAATATTTTAAAACATAAATTGGTTATATTTAAGAAGTACCCCACAGGGCAAAGAATGTTAATTACAATAACAAACAAAAAAGAAAACTTGTTTTTAAGAAATTTATTTAGAAAACTGTTCCAGTACAAAAATATCACTACTAGGAATCTAGGAATCTACAAAATTCTAGTAGTCCACTGTCAGTGATCTACTGATGTACTAGCAGAGCAAATAAATTGAGAGTTGAAATTGAAATACGTATTTATCAGATAGGCCTTATTAACATTCCCATCTTCAGAGAGACATTTGTATACTTCCAGTAATAATATCTTGGTGTAGTTCTATGTAACTTTAAAAACTAACACAATAAGAACTGAGCAAGTAATCTGGAACTAATTTTAAATCACCAGCCTCTATGTGTAGTAGGTCTAGAATTCCTGAATGTCAGTATCTGTACCTGATTTCAACCAAAAGATTTCAACCTCCTTGCAAGGAATTCTGCAAGGAATTTGCAAGACATCTGTAGTGTCACAAGCTGTGTATGGCACACTACATATGTTCTGAACAAAAATACCTGTCAGTTATGAAGTTTGTTTTGAGTTAAATCTTGTAGTTATATTTTAGATATATTGAGTTCTAAAACCCAAGGCTAGCCCATAGGATCAATTCAGCTTTCTCTGAACTTGATGGACAACTTACTGTTCATTCTACATGCATCTGCAGAATAAAATTAATGTAAAGATAAATTTTTTTACCAACCATATTGATTTATGCTGTCTGCATACTGTACCTGAGCTTCACTTTCATTTGACAGGATTTCCAGAGCTTCAAGATGAGACAAACCTTGGAATTCATCAAAAAGTAGTCCATAATGTGCTGTTCTTTCTACTGTAACTTGCTGGGCCCGTCTCTGTTTCTCTTTTTCTTTGGCTTCTCGCAACAACTGTAAAAATATACATAATTTCATGTTTTATTGATAGTACTGTAAGTGTGACAGATTTTATTACTATCTGCTTCTGTGTGTCTAGAAGTAGTAATAAAATTTGGGACTATATCACACCTGCTAAAATTTTAGAGATGAAAGAGCTAACTTCTTTTTTGATAATTTTCTCTGATATAACATTAATATAGCATTCTAAGCAGGGATTTCCCAATGATAATTGCTAACCATCTCTCTTTAAAATACAATGAACAAAAAATAAATCTTGCTTATCTTTTCAAGAGGAATGTCAGCTACAGATACCATATAATAAATTTCCCCACCCATTATAATGAAAGAGAAAGGACTATTTCATGTGCAGCCTTAAAGAGCCATGCAACCCTTTCTGCAGACCACAAAATGGGAACAGTACTATTTTCAGGACTTATCCAGCAACTTGCATAAATAATACACCAACATAAACATTTTCTATAAAATATTCTTAGCAAATACCAAAGTCAGTTTTATGTGACAGTGGGACTGACAAAAGAGATTGATGACTTATACCAAAGGTGGGGCAGTACTACCCTCTATATACCTGGGTATATTTTGGTAGGCTTTTAATACACTTCAATCAGTGTATAAGAAGGATAGAATAGGAGAGGATAAGATATCCAACAGGATCTTCTCTTCCTTCCTTCTATTCCTGGACAAAGTGGCATCTCATGAATTTCTCACAGTAAAGGTGGCAAATACATCTGAACTACATGTTAGGTCACATACAAGTCTTTGAATACAGGTGAACTCTGAAAAGCCATAGTGCAACCCCTGAGAACTGATTTATGCTGCACTCTGTCTCAGATTCTATGTGCAAATCCATGCATGTTGTTAAAGGAGACATTCTCAAAAGCTCACTTTAACCCCATGGGCCTTAACAAGAGTTAATTGCTTTTGATCTACTATAAGAGTATAAGTCTGTTAACTCTTCCAATAAAGAAAACTAAAGTATCTCTTTAAAAGAAAAATACCTTACTCTTCTCTACAAGGAAGTAAACATGCAGTAAACACACTTTATTTTCAATGTCTATTGCTTTCCCTCCTTTCAGGGTCTGGAGAACTGAAATAATTTTGTACTGACAGCATTTATACTTCTGTTTTTATTGCATCTCTAAGATTTAAAACATATGAATCACAACTGTGTAAGGATACCATTAAGTTAGATGGACACTGAGATACAACTTTTTACAGGTTTAATTCCTAATGAAACATATATTATATTCCAGTATTATCGATTTCCAAGGAAAATAGTATGGTAATGTTCATGCTGGAAGATATCTATCTACAGCTATTACCAAAACACCAACAATTTGATTTTGCCTCCAGAGTGTAATGATTTCTCACCACATATTTAAATCAGTAATTGCATATATGATTATGCAGAAAAGATGATTTTACATTATCTTTTGTGGCTCTGTGAAGAAAAATAAAGTAGAGCAACTGTAAAGATTATTATTTATTCCATAAGCCCAGCCAGCATCTACTGCAATAAATAAAGCCTCTCCTTGAGGCATATGAAATTCTGGAAGAAGAATCTGAGCAGTATTTAAATATATCCAACCTGAGATAGTGAGACTGTTCTTGCCATCAGTGTTTTGGTTCTCTTAAATCCAGGATCACTTTCTGCAAGGACATTCATGGTTGTCTTCCCAATAAATTCCAAAGCATCTAAGCCTCCAGTTAATACACTTTTGCCCTGTATAAAATAATGCATTGTGGTTATTTTCTTCCCAGTTTAGGCTAATATGAACTGTAAAGAGGAGTGTTTTTGTAGACACTGTCTTTGAACACTCAGGTCCCTAAATTTCCTATACCTCAACCAAGAAGAGGATTGGATGCATTTACTTTGTTCTGAATATGTTTTCCAAAAAAAAACAACGCAAAAAACTATACAAATATTTCCAGTTAATTGAACTACTTACACCAGAGGAAATGTAACAATTGTTGTAAATTAAAAAAAAAAATAAAAATCATAAAAAGCCTGGAGCACATCTCCTGTGAAAACAGTCAGAGAAAATTGGGGCTGTTTAGCCTGCAGAAGAGAATGCTCTGAGGAGACCTTCCAGCAGCCTTCCTGTACCTAAACAGGACCTACTGGAAGTCTTGACAAGGGATGCTCTGCAGGGGCAAGCAGTGTTTGGACAAAAGGGAATGGCTTTACTTTGAAAGAGGATAAATTTAGATTGAATATCAGGAAGAAATTCTTCACTATGAGGATGGTTAAGCACTGGAACAGGTTGCCCAGAGAGATGGCGGATGCTGGAGATGCTCCACTCCTGGAAGTATTAAAGGCCAGGCTGGATCAGGCTTTGAGCAACCTGGTTTAGTGGAAGGTGTCCATGCCCAAAGCACTGCAACAGGTTGCACAGAGAGGTGGCGGATGCTCCACTCCTGGAAGTATTAAAGGCCAGGCTGGATCAGGCTTTGAGCAACCTGGTTTAGAGGAAGGTGTCCATGCCCAAGTCAGGGACATAGGAACTAGATGATCTTTAAGTTCCCTTCCCATCCTAACTACTCTGTGCCTCTGTCATTCTATTCCATTCCATTTTACTTTCAACCAATGGCATCTGGTTTGTAGGAACTTGTTTTAGACATGAATAATATGGAGCCAAATCCATCATGAATAGAAGACTCTGTCTTACTGGATTTTTAAATTTTTAACACTTATGATGGCTCTGTGAATATTTTTTCCAAAAAAAAACAACGCAAAAAACTATACAAATATTTCCAGTTAATTGAACTACTTACACCAGAGGAAATGTAACAATTGTTGTAAATTAAAAAAAAAAATAAAAATCATAAAAAGCCTGGAGCACATCTCCTGTGAAAACAGTCGGAGAAAATTGGGGCTGTTTAGCCTGCAGAAGAGAATGATCTGAGGAGACCTTCCAGCAGCCTTCCTGTACCTAAACAGGACCTATTGGAAGTCTTGAGAGGGATGCTCTGCAGGGGCAAGCAGTGTTTGGACAAAAGGGAATGGCTTTACTTTGAAAGAGGATAAATTTAGATTGAATATCAGGAAGAAATTCTTCACTATGAGGATGGTTAAGCACTGGAACAGGTTGCCCAGAGAGATGGCGGATGCTGGAGATGCTCCACTCCTGGAAGTATTAAAGGCCAGGCTGGATCAGGCTTTGAGCAACCTGGTTTAGTGGAAGGTGTCCATGCCCAAGGCAGGGACATAGGAACTAGATGATCTTTAAATTCCCTTCCCATCCTAACTACTCTGTGTCTCTGTCATTCTATTCCATTCCATTTTACTTTCAACCAATGGCATCTGGTTTGTAGGAACTTGTTTTAGACATGAATAATATGGAGCCAAATCCATCATGAATAGAAGACTCTGTCTTACTGGATTTTTAAATTTTTAACACTTATGATGGCTCTGGAACTGCCTATTTAAATACATATGTTTTTCTGTGTCTTCATATTTTTATGCACACTGAAGAAGAAGTTTCACTGGCTAAAGATTTCCATTTCAATCTGGATTATGTCTGTGTCAGATACTCAACTGCTGGTGTAACATGACATATCATAGAAAATGCTTCCAAAGTCTCAAGTGGCATTACAGGTGACTTACTGAGACCTTAAGTGACTCTTTTTACACCACATTGATCACTGTGGTATAGCAGCCTCTCCAGATTGCCTACAAGCACATTTCTCTTGCAAATCTTGTATAATGCTTGTATAATCTTACTGGTGGCCAGCTCTCACAAGCCATATGATGCTCCGGGTTCTGTAGAAACAGTTTTAGGAATAATCTATAGGAATCTTCTTCTGTTCCCAAAATCTTTGATATTAGAGTGACGAGGTAGTCAGAGCAAACTGGATATACAACAAAAAAGAACTGTCATTTCATAAAACTTGCTCAGTGAGGAATTAATTTTCTATGCTTTTACAGCCAATATTTAAAGTCTTCTTTAATTTCACGTGAAACACCATACTTAAAGGTATAAAAAGTTGGGGAAGAAGATGATGCAAAAATTGATTTGGAAATGGTATGGCACCGGATTTTGCAAAATCTGAAACTCAAAAAAAGAGAAAAGGATGAAATTCAACACACAAAATATAAGGGCAATAAGAAAGAACTGTGAACAAAAGATTTTGCCTCACTAAGTTTGCAATCAGACTTCCTTCTGGGAAGGCTAATATGAAATGAGAGACTAGATAAAGAGGTGAAGGTAAAGGACAGGAACTAAAAATAGAAAGCTTGGTAAAAGCCTTAAAATCAGCAAATTCAGTATTTTCTTATGTTATCTGCCTTCAAAAATGGTAACAAGTCCTATCACACTTTCTCTGGAAGGACTTAACTGTAAAAAAAAAAAAATCAGATGATGGTACAATTATAAAAAAGATGTTCCAAAAATTTGCAGAATTCTACATAGTTTTGGAGAAGACCATATTTTTTTCACTGAAACTGGTGAAAACATAGTAACTGAGTTAGTTCTGTTTGACTTTTTATTTTTTTAATTAGACAGTTTAATTTTAAAGTTATTTTGTCATGGAAAAGACTCTAAACAGAATTACAAAAGAACAGTTTTTAAAAAGACCTCTAACTTAAAAAACATGACCTACGGTGAAACTGAACTTAAAAATAATGAAAAATAGCTAGAACAGAGAGATCAGCTAAAGTGACTCACTGTGTTTTGTACAGCACTAGTGATAGCTGACAGCATGCCACGAGATCCAGATGAAGGAGAAGAAGGAATATTCTCAGAAGAGCTTTGGGCCAGAGAATCTTCTGCTTCTAACAAAAGAAAACAAGCAGGTTACAGCATCATTTCAACCCTGCAAGTCAAAATTACAGTAAACTGGTTTGTGTGACCAAAATTTAAAAATTTTGTAAATGGAACTAATTTGACAGGGTCAAAGAGTTTTGCCCGCTTTCAGTAGACTTCAACTTACGAGTAACTGGTGTTTCAGCTGCAGGAGGCTCTGCTGTTTCCAGAGATGCTGAACTTCCACTGTGAATTCTTAGGGTAGTTCCTGCTTTTTCCTTTACTGCTGTTATCCCATGACCTGTAGCAGAGGCATATTTTAGGCTATATGATTTGAAAATCTATTCTTATCAGTGCACAGTATTCTTATACTTAATGAATTATGACAAAATATCTATTAAACATACCTCAGTTGCCTAATTTTCTCTAGGTTAATAATTCACTTCTTCTACTATATTCATATTAACTGAATATAAATTATAAACTTGAAATACAACACAAATTATGCTGGATCTGAAAAGTAAAACTTATTTCAGTGGCACACATAAGTTTAGATCCCTGCTTTTCAAAATGCTAAATATTCTATTGCAATCAGTTTAAATGCAAACTGACAGTCCTCCTAAGGCCACAGGGTATCACCTCACAGTCTTCAGTATTCTAGAACAATTAACCCAAAGTTAATGGATTGTGTATGACTGCAGGACTGAGGCAAGGAATTTGGTCTTCAGTCCTCTGCAGAGGTGCTATGTATTTAGGGATGCTGACTCCAGTCCCCAAAGTTATTTCAGGATTTAAGCTCCTTAGTCTCTCATTTGAAGTAAAATCCTGAAATATCTCTCCCCAAAGCTACTATTTAAATACACTTTGTAAAGTCTGCTGATGTCAAATGACACAAGCAGAACTATTGCTCCAGTGGCAGGTGATCTCCTACAACAGAAATGTTACCACCTTTATATGATTCATATGCAGTGATTCCTCAGCTCTCCATTAAAATGGTCTACTTCAATATAAAGTATAAATGTTGCTACTGTTTCTATCTGAATATTTTGACAGAACAGGACTGCCTTGCTGGTTTTCTACACAGAGTTTATTTACACTAGCAGATCACAGGGACTCACCAGTCCCTGTGATCTGCTCATTTAATCCCACTACAGGATTGGGTAGACAGGCTGGTAGTCAGTCAAGGGAGGCTAAGGGTGGCTTTGCTGAACTAAGCTATATGGCATGCATGTTTCACTGCAGCAGCAAAACCAGATGAGATCAGAAGACCACAACTGAAGCAAACATGTGTGCACAAACAGGGCAGAAATGCCTGTTGCCTTGGAAATGAAAATGATTATTTGTAATTTCAAAAGGCACAGAAATAAAAAAGGTCATGGGAGAGAAGCCTACAATTTAAAGATGTACTCATTTTGTAACACTGGGTGTGCTAATGCAACTGAGCTGACACCTCTGACATCTCCATTTACTCTTGTGTAACAGTAGACAGAAGAGCTATGCAATAGGCATTGTTAACTGTGAGCTTTTGGAAGAAAGCACTCTTTTTTCCCCCTGTGTTGTTGCTTTTGTTTCTCTTGCCTCCATGATTCCTTGCCTTTCTATTGTCTGGCAATTTCCACAGAATATTATTGTTCATGTTCCTAGCTGGGATCTTTCATTTAAAAAGGAAGGTTTTGCTAACACTGCCTAACAGCATGACCTGCCTTTTGGTTTGCCTGATCTGCTAAGGCCAGATTACAGCACTCACAAATGCTTTAGTCAGATACGTCCCACTTTGCTGCAAGCTGTCTTATCTTCCACCTCCCAGTTTAATAGCTTTGGATTCCCTGCAGAGCTGAGAGAGGCAAACAGACACCTCTGGAGGGCAGTTCACTGTGTCTGAAACCTAAGCCACTCTGTACAGGAATCACTGATCCATCTAGTACTCACAGGAAATTTGACTCTGAGTCAGTGGTACACATGGGGTGGAGTTTGGGATTTTGTCCCTGGCTACCACACTGCCTTTGTAACCTGTGTCCTACCATGGGAGCACATCTAATGAAGAACTGATCACAATTTAGTCTAGTAACATGAGTTAAGACTCATCTATCTCAAGCTAATGATGTAGACTGGGGCCTTAAATGAGCATCTTTCACCGGATGAGAAATTGAGGAACCTGAAACTGGCTGGAAGAGAATCACTCCACAACATGAAGTATAGAGATGTGGACAATCCAGCCATGCTCTGGTTTTGTACACTAAAAAGTGAGACCCCATTATACTCCCTTTCAGGCTATCCTATTGCACTCCATTCACTTCAAGCCTTCACAAAATTTCTCTTCCTGTCAGTTAAAACAAAAAAAAAAACAGCCTAGATTTTTATAGCACCTACACTATCTTGTCTATAAATCAGGAATCACTCCAATTAATCTAGTAAATGAGATAGATTCAGATATCCTTATTGCAAGCATAAAAGGTTTCAATAATAGTAATAAGCATAAAGGTTGTTATACCATTTTATTGGTTCTCAGTCTCTTCTACACTATAGGCCCATGGTAAAAGATATAAAGAAAGGAAAAGAGACTGTCAACCCAAAATGGATCCACATTCCCTTCTGTCTGTTACTTCCATTCAGCATTCTTAAAAAGGAATAACTGCAAAGGGCTTTGCTGCTACAGCAGCCGAAAAGTGTTACTTACAAAACAGTTGTGACCACCATGTGATTCCAAGCCAAAGTAGTTTTCCCTTAATCAGCCAAATTTGTGAAATAAAAAAAAGTCTGAAGAGATTAACTATCCTCTTCTTTATGATCACATAAAGTACAAGCATAACTAAAGCACAAGCATAACACCCAGCCTTCTTTTTTTAATATCATACTTTATTTTGCTACAGGGCAATAGTATCTATAGAGAACAGAAAAGACATTTGCAATATTTGAATACTTTAGTTTCACATTTTCTGCAGCACTGACATTTCTGTTCCACAGAGAAGTCAACTTAAGGTATGTAATGATGATTATTACACATACCCATGCGTAATAATATCCAAGCTCATGAACATAAGTGACATTTTGTTATCTCATCTAAAGTGACATTTTTTCTGTCATAGTGAGTGACAAAAAGTGCTTTTCAGCATACCAGGGAGAAGTATGGGTGTCTGATATTTTCATGTGCCATTCTCATAGTTGAGGAACTAGATGAGAATATACACAAGAACAAAAGAATTAAGATAGCAGAACATTAATTACAAACAATACATTAGAAAGATGCATTGTGCAGCCTTATAGTATGAATGTCAGGGATCATGTGAATCAAACAGCTGGGTTATTTTTTATTATTTTTATGTGTGAATGTATTGACAGATGCTAGTCTTAGCAATGGACCTAAAGGTGAAACACCTTAAACTTACACAGAGTGAAGCATTTTTATACAGCATGACAGAGAACAGACTTTTCTTGGAAATGCAGCTCACTGAGCACCATAACTTCAGCACTTTATGAATGCCATACCTCATTCAAAACGCCACAGCATATGAAAGGCAAGGCTTGCAGAAGGTAGTCACTTTCATTAAGCTAGCAGATAGATTAGTTGGAAGAAAAACCAAAGACTCAAGCTTTAAAGCACAGAAAATGTTTTAAAAATGCAAGTCACAAGCTGCCAGTAGAAACTGAAAATATATTTTGCCTCAAGTGAAGAGTTTGCTGTTACAGCTAAGCTAGCCTAATGGCTTCTTGGTGCAGTTATGGGAGGTTCTACTCTTCCCCATGTTCCACGCTTGTCCCTTCTGCTTGCCCCAAAACTGGTCTCAAAGAGTTGGTTCAAGGAACTGAAGAGGCAGAAAATAGATTTTTCTCTCCTTATTCTTACATCAGTTTAGCTTCCTAAACTGGATTAGAGGGAACTCAGAGGAACATGAATGCTGGTACAGGGAGAAGGAAGAAACATGCAAGGAAAAGACAGGTGAGGGACTACACATTTCAGCGGCTACTACCACCCATTAATTGATTGATTCAGCTGCAATAGTCACCCTCTTGAGCAGGACAGCTTTATCAACATTGTCAAAAGACTGGATTGTGTAATGGCTGATTTACTAAAAAACACAATTGAAAAGAAAGACACTAAAAAGGTGATAATTAGTACAAGTTGTTCCTCCATATCACAGAGAGCCTTCTCCCCTCTCCTCATTCCAGCAACTATTTCAGTGGTTCTGCTCCATTGTGGTTCCACAAGGAGGAACCAACTTTCTTGCCCCTTTTGAGAAAAGAAATCTCTTCACCTCACTGATGAAGTTGATTCAATCGTTTGCTTAGTGTGACATCTAGTGTCAAGACCCCAAACATGGTTCAGGCAGTGACTGAAACTCCAAAGGCATTACAGATTCCCTTCTGTAGAGAAGTATCACATCTGTCATGTCGTGGGGACCTTAATCTAAATAATGTCAAAGACAACAGATATTTTCTTTGGAATAGAAAACTACCACTAAAACAATCCCAGACTGTATGTGCAGTTACTTAAAGGAGAATGAGATACAAATTATATGGAAACCGAGTTATTATTGGGAACTAAAATCAGCAGTCCTAAATAAATTATAGCCATGCATTGAAAATGCTTATGTGTTTGTGAATTCTCTATCAGTGTCTGAAGGATAATGAAACCAAGATCATCGGAACAACATTTTAACTCAGTCTTAAATAGATAAGAATGCAAGAAAAACTAATAACAGTGAGAAGAATTATTCACTGGAAAAACCTACCAAGGGATATGGTAGAGTCTCCATTGCTGGAGGTTTTCAAGATGTGACTGGACTACATGCTAGATAATCTCATCTAGATGCATAAAGCCTTTCCCACAAAACCCCTGACTAGATGACTTTTCAAGGTACTGTCCAACCCTGGCTGGTCCATGATACTCTTTGTTAGAAGCAGAATATATTTGTTTAAGCTTTTAAGATGTTATTTAGTCCACCTCAAACTGTTTGTGCTATTTTTAAAAAGTACAATTTTGAAGAAAAACATAAGGATTGTAAATATTGGTCATATTTCACCAGACAGGCAGCTGTGTTGTACAATATGACAACAGAACAACAGAAAAATCAGACACTAAATGTGTTGCTACTAAGTCTTAACTCCAAGAAGGCAGTTTACTTACAGCATTTGCTACACTGAAGGAATAGCAACTTTACAATGGACTGGTCCATAGCAAAACTATTTTCTGGTGTGGAAGAGGAGATGAAGCGTTGGTTGAACTGATGAGATATTAAATGGAGTAACTTTAAGGAGAATAATAAATACATTCTAATAATAATAAGGTTTATAGAAATTCCCAATGGCTTTAATTTTTTTTTCATATATCTCACTAGGGGGACCAGTGTGGTGTGGAAGAGGAGATGAAATGTTGGTTGAACGGATCAGATATTAAACGGAGTAAGGAGAATAATAAATACATTATAATAATAATAAAGCTTATAGAAATTCCCAATGGCTTTAATTTTTTTTTCCATATATCTCACTAGGGAGCTATCATACTGAAGGAAATATGTGGTCTATACAGAACCATATCCTGTCCATGACAGTGAGAGACAGGAAGTATTTCAGAGGATCAAGCATGGATTTTCATAATAAACAACTAGGAAATAAGCGCTCTGTATCAGGAATATAAAGTATTACCTGGTGCATTGATTTCCTGTAACAAATCTAAGACTAGCTATTTGGTCTTCCAAGTTCCTTGGGTTCACAAAACATGGAAGAACATAAATTTGATTTTTGCTTAATTCAAAGTCTATTTTGTTAAATAAATTCACAAAGTAAGACTCAAAATTATTAAATAGTAACATGGAAACTCAACCTACCCTGATCCCAGGATCAGAAAGTCTGTCTATGCTGCAGATTCCAGGAAATAGGAAAACGAGGGGAACTGCTGCTTTATACACATCTGGTTTTAGCTGCTTTCCTAGTTCTTGGTCACTGCCAGAACCTAAATAGTAGATGGGTCTTCAGCATGAAATAGTGCAGTCATTCTGATGTTGAATTAAAATTATTCTAAAATTTTCCTTTTCCTTTTCTGCATGTGGATGCTCTTTTCCCAAGGCAACTTGACTTGTTCCAGCTCTGCTCATTTTTAGACAATAATAATCCTAAAAATATCTATTCATGGTGATAACATGCCTATTCAAAACACACATCACACAACCTTATCAAGTCAGACTGCCTACACAAGAAACTTGTTCCACACACCCTAAAAACCCATTCTGAATGTAATTAGAAATGTTAATTGTTGTTGTCTGAAAGAAAATGTAGTTATGTACTCCTGATTGTGGATGTTGATGAAAAAAAAAGAGGACAAGGAAACTTCCCTCTCTGAGAAACAGACAGAAACCATTTACTGTCCATGAAAAAGAAGAGATAAGGAGGAGAATTATTTAGCCTTGTATGGCATCATAAAAGCAGTATCTCTATTGAACTCATTTTTAGAAACTAGCAATTAATTTTAATTCCTAGGTTCATCTTTTGAAAGTGTTCTGTGGATCCTTTATGAGAGCTGACTAACTAACAGATTGTTTTGCTACAAAACATTTCAGGTTTGTGAGAAATTATTTCCCACTGGTAACTACATATTTCTATGCTTCACTTTTTGTCAGTGAGTTTTCAAAGAGCAATAATTAAGTTTTACCTAAAGTCTTCACAAGGACATTTTGTACTGACCTTCTACTGGAAATGAGAGTACAGGGCCCATGTTTTAATAAATTGTTCTCCTGTCGGAAATCTAGTGTGACAGTGTGACAGTTTCACTGGGTGGCAAGAAAAGCTGGAATGATTTACTAGAAGTGAATTCATGTGTAGGCAGGAGTCAAACCTGGCATACAAACCATTAACACGTGTGAGCATGAATCTGGGTTGCTTTGACTTGAGAAACCACAAGCCTTTGGCTGATAGAAATTGTATTGGATTATGGATCCTTTCTATGAAGAAGTCACAATCAAGTAATTCATTAACTTTACAAACAAGCCTAGTACCTTGTCCATAATCTGAATAATTAGGAAGGTCCATCTTCCTCTTTAAAAAAATCATGCTTCCCAAGCTTATCAAGGCAAAATTGCCTATGAATCCTTAAGATGCAACACTAATCTGTCTAATGACACATGAAAATGATTAATTATTTCCACACATTTTACCAACTGAACACTTACCCACTGTGGCAGAAGCTGATGACAGGAGAGACTTTCCCCAGGTACCCCAAGCTCCCCATCTACTTGCTTTAGATGAGGAGTCTGCAGCCTATAAGAACAAAAATGTTACTCCACTGTCTAAAAATCTTGTTCTCAAGAGGCAGGAGGAAACACAAAGAGCCTGTCAGGCAACAAAGTCTGGCATTTAATAGATGATGACAGATTGAGTATTAAGTGGAGTTCAAACTTCTGTGCACAAAAAAACAGAAGCATAGCTCATATCATCTGTTCCTGGAAGAGCTTTAAACTCCAGAGATGTCTTTACAGATGCCCTACTATTTCTTCAGGTATCAATCCTATAAAGCCATACAAGTTTATTAGGGCTAATATGAAGGAGAGGTAGGAACCTGTCTCCTTCCTGGGTTGGAGGCAGGACCCAGAGTTGGAGGCTTCTCTTCCGAAGTCTCCTCACATGTGTAATTCAGTAGATGTGCACAGGGAACTCCTAACAACTCAATTCAATAAAACACAGCCAGAGGAGGTGCTGCATACCTTTTACACTAATGGCTAGTGTTAAGCCATTATCTGTATTCCATATTTAAATCATGTTAAGAAACTGTTGTCTCAAGAATGTGTCCAGTAACATATCACCTCTACACAATGCAAGTTTCATTGCAACCAGACTTGAAAGACCAAATTAAAATCATGCTGGTGAAGTGAAATTAAACTATTACTAGTTTTGCAATTCAAAGTATTGCAATTCAATTTATCCTTATGTAGAGATAAATATAATAACCTTCCACATAACTTCCTAGGTTTTTGTGAAAAACAGGACGTACATTATACAAAATTCTGTCCTCACAATGCAAGGAGAGGAGGGCCTTCAGAGAAAAGAAAGTATTGCTTACTGGATTGCTTTGGTCATGTGGTGTTTCTTCCAATTCAGGTTCTGCATCAAGGCTTACAGTTTCAATGCACTCGGTGGGCATGTCTTCAGTTGTCCCTTCACTGGAAGGCAGGCTGGAAGGCAGGCTTTCAACGAGTTTTTCAGTCAAAGGGCTTTCATCAATGACTATTCCCTCCTTTCTATTACCTACATTCTGAGTGACCTGTCCATGTTGATCTTCTGAAGACTCAGGCAAGATCTCAGCTTCTACGAGGTGTGGTGCTGATTCATGAGGCAATACCTCATTTCTGGGCATCTCCATTACTTCAGGTTTTTCTTCAGATGGGGTGCCATCAGATATGTCTTCAGACATTTTCAGTTCTGAATATAAAAAGTTAAGTCTTTTAGGTGCCATAAACATTTAAGTGTTTATTATAAAATACAATGTTTACCGTATGCTACTGCCGAAAAACAATACAACCTTGATGTAAGACCTCCTCAGCCATGGAGTCCTGTGGCACATGCATCACACTGGCACTGGTGTCAGGATAATACTGTAAATAGTCCACTCACACTGGAGGATCCCACTCAAATAATGTTTATTATAAAATACACTGTTTACCGTATGCTACTGCTGAAAAACAATACAACCTTGATGTAAGAACTCCTCAGGCATGGAGCCCTGTGGCACATGCACTGTAAACAGTCCACTCACACTGGAGGATCCCACTCAAATACAAAGAGCAGCATAACTGTTTTCCAAAATATGGTTTAGTGAGAGTGAAAGGATATTAATTTGTCTGGAGAAGTCAAATGTAAGAGTTGCCACATGGTTAATTTCTATATTCACTATCAGGTGTGTATGAAAGACTATTGCAGAACAAAATAATGCAAGCTGCAAGAGCCAAGCAGCTCTTGCTCTGCCTTTCATCGCGTCCACATACACAGGTTCCTACAGCCCACTGACTGACAGAGGGGAGGATAACTCTGTACCTCAAACTGTGGTGACATTCATGTGCTTGAGAAGGGACATAATCTGTGAACATGACAGGCCATGGGCCCTAGAGCCATTTCATAGACACAGCCATAGCACAGAGTCATTGCTGACACCGGTTGTGTATCACTTGTCCCAAAGTCTTGCTCTTTGGGGAGTGCAACACTTCTCACCATCTCCTAAAATTCCAGCTGTCTGATTAACTTCAATTTTGAAGCCAAGGTAAGCTTGTATGAGGTAGTTACTGTTATTTTTTTTTTTTTTGGCAAGTGATGAACCAGTTTTCTCTCATTTATTCCTTATCTTCCAATGTAATTTTGGAGGTATTTTCCACCCTTGTGCAGTCATCAGGCTGAGGATGCTGATGGGCAAAGACAAAGCCACAGAGTAAGCTCTGCAGCTGATTAAGGAGTGGCACTGCCAGAGTCCAAAAGGGCTGCTGGCCTGTGATTATTAACACTTATTTGTTGGTAACAACAGTTTACTTGGCACTCAGAAGACAATCCTTGACAGAGAGCTTGCAAAATGTTGAATTGCATGGCATAGAAGACTTGTATGGCACAAAAGTCCTCTCTGTAGATGCTGCCTTTTCATTGACTCTCATATTAATTAAACATGGCTCAAAGGTTTTCATCTGTCAGGAAGAATGGAGGTTGTATGAGAGACTAAAGAACTGGGGGAAAAAAAGGCAAAAAGCAAAACCTAACTAGGATTTAGGAGAAGTCTGCCTGAGAAGGATATATTTAAATTAGTATATTTTGTTAAAGTCTATAGAACTGTACACATCTAGCTTTAGTAGCCTGTTTATCTAATGTGAATGTAGACCACTTGTTTAAATAGTTCCAAGAGTAATGTTTTGGATCAGTGAACAAGAAACATAAGTAAAAAAGTAAGCACTTGCTACCACTTGTATTACTTCAGCTTACACTGTACCTTAATTAGCTTCAGAAAACATGAATTCTGAAGTCAGAATCTTTGCCTTTGACAGTTTTCCATTAAAAATACAGTAAATACTATAAAATGCTTTATTGTAGGGAAATATTGCTATTGTTGTAACAGTACTCACTGTGTGATGGGCAGCATCACCTAAGGAAAATTTTTGTATTTGTAAATCAAATTCCATCATGACATATGAGGATTCTCTATTAAAATCTGTAAAACCTTTACATACATACTTCATAATTTTGAATGGGCATTAGCTCTGAGTAAGCCCAGCACTTTTTAAAGGATGACACAGACGTGCATGTGGAATTTTGCAGTACTGGGTCATCTTTGGGTACCACTCGGGCCCCGGTCCCTGCGGCTGTGTGCTGAACCTTCCTTCCAGGAGCACGGCACATAACAGCAAATTACCGCGTCTGCCAGAACACACGAGCTGTGCTGCACCCGGGGCCAGCGTCCTTCAACCTCTCATCCGTGAGACTGTCCTGATCCAAATCAACTCGGACAGCTCTGCCCAAAGGGAATTACTCCACGGGGAGTTCGTGAGGGAGATGCTAAGGCCAGCCCGGCCCGGTGGCGGGGAGTGCCCGGCCCGCACCGACCGGCCGCGCTGAGGGGGCCGCCTGTGGCGGCACCTGCCGAGCCTGCTGAGGAGTTTCATCTCCCCTAGAAAGCAAAGCTCAGCTGCCGCCGGGCCCCTTGGGGCACGAATCACCGTCCCCGAGCGGGAGGGAGAAATAACTTTTTTTGGCGATGGCACCTTGCTCCCCTCTCGCTCGACGCCCACAGTTGCTTCTCCTCCGCTGCAGGCACGGCGAGTGCAGGCGAACCTCCCCTGGCGCCCGCCGGCGGCAGCTCCCCCTGTCCCGCTGCCCTCTGTCCCCTGCCCCAGGCGGGGCAGGAGCAGCCGGGAAGCCGCTCCCGCAAGCCCGCAGTGGCCACAACTTCCCGCTTCTCCTTCTCCTTTTTTCCCTTTTCGAAATTCCCCTCTGGGACAGAGCTGTGTGGCGCAGCCAGTGTCAAAAGCGGCACAAAATGCAGAAATCGCCGCGCTCCTTACCGCTCAGCAGTGCCCCGACCGGCGCGCCCCCGGCTCCTTCCCTTCCCCGCCCCGCCACGTCGGCAGCAGCGGGGGGAGGAGGCAGAGCGGGCCAGGCAGCCCGGGCCGGCCCCAGGGAGGAGGGGGGAGAGAGGGCTTGATTTTGTCGCTCTCTGTCCTTCCGGCTGTGTGAGGCGGCCGTCTGTTGTAAAGGGGGCCGAGCCGTCCCCGGGCTCCAGGCTTCTGTGACCCAGCGCGGGGAATTGCCCCGGCCGCCATGCCCGCCCCTCACGGCCCTGGGCGCGGGGACGCGGCGGGGCCCGGCGGGACCCCGCTGGAAGCGCCGGCCCGGAGCGTCGGGCGTGGCTGCTGCAGCGCTTCCCTCAGGGCTGGCGGCACCCCCTCGTCCGCGCTGGGGCGGAAAAGGGGTGAATTTGGTAGAATCATAGAATATTCTGAGTTAGGAAGGGACCTGTCGGGATCAACGAGTCCAACTCCTGGTCCTGTGCAGGGCACCCCAAGAATCACACCACGTGCTTGGGAGCGTTGTGTCCAAACCTTTCTTGGACAAGCTTGGTGCTGTGGCTACTTGGCTGGGAAGCCGGTTCAGTGCTCAACCATCCTCTGAGAGAAAAAGTCCAAATTAATCTAGTTGCTGAGCTGGCTTTTTTTTTTTTTTTTTTTTTTTTTTTTTTTTTTTTTTGAGAAAGTCTAATTCTTCCTCAAAGTGAGCGCTTACTGACTCGTGGGATTGGGGAATTGAAGGGAGATGCGGCTTTTCAGACACCGCCTGGCACCTCCGTTATGGCTGTGTTTACAGGAAATGCCCCTGACAGAAGCAGAAGCCAGCGGTGCCTGCACACATTTCCAGTCAGTTGGTGAAACACTTGGTTGAGCAAAGGGGTTTCAGGCTGTTCCCAACAGCCTGCGGTTCTTGTTTCTGTGTAATTCCTCATACCCGTTCCTCTTTTTGCCACCTCATTTTAAGGCGAAGCATGCCCTTTGCAGTGGTGAAAGGCAACACAGCATCGTTTCTATCATTAGTCTCTCAACGACAGAAGTTACTTTTGACACAGGAGACAAACCAGCACATTGTGAGCCACTGAGGAGAGCTACTCCAGGAGGTCACAAATGTTCTCAGAAGCGTGTTTTACAAATACCGATCATGCTACGTGACTTTACCAGGCATAAGTCTCGGAAGTTTCTCATTAAGGCAGTTGGTAGCAGACCAAATGTTTGTAGCCCTACGTAATAAGTTCCTTTTGAAGGTCTTTCGGTGAGAATTTAAGTGTCAGGGAATGCTGGGTAATTTATGAATGTTAGATATATTTATTGAAAATGAAATCTAGAGTGGCCCTAGGGATTTCCCTCTGCTTCTCAGTGGAGCTTGTGGAAGAGTAAGAGCAGTATCTCAGGAGGAATCATGGTAGCTGGAGATTAACCTATGACCTATGTAATGTGGATCTTGCACTGTCAGTTTTGCAGATTCTTTAGATAACCATGCATGTCATAGAACTGCAAGATGTTATTAGTGACATAGTTAATCCCTGTTGTAACACAAAGTTACCACCTAAGGGTAAAATTAACATTATATGTACATGAATGTGGATGTCTGTCTGTTTGGATATAAGGATGCATACATTTTGTAAGTTCCTAAACTACTTTTTTGAATTTAAGACTTTTACACTTAGCATTTTCTAACTTTTTCCTCTTTCAATTTTCAGTAATTGATTTTGCTCGCATTTTTTTACTATGGTAATATTGCAAATGGTTTTGGAATAAATAAACATTAGAGATTGAATGCTTCCACTCATCTCAGGTTTCACTGATGTTTATTACTCTGTCATCATCTTTCAAATGGGTTTCATAAAATATACCTGCCTTCCAATAAATAGATAAATATAAATAAAGGCAAAAAGACATTTGGCTTCATTTAACAGAACATGGAAGCATGCATGACATTCATGGACTCTATTAATCTACTTCCAGTGATTGCACTGGTAAATCTGAAGGGTTAATGGCACGCAATTAATAGTAATATGCTTATTTTGCTGTTTAACATATTGTTCATCTGTCTTTATAGTACGTAGGCATACAAACAATGCCAGTGGCAGCTCATACTGTCCCTGAATTTAAGAGATCCCCTGGAATAAGAATCTCTACCTTACAGCAGATAACACACAGTACTAATTTTATGTCTGGTTCTGTATTCAGCAGAGCAGTATGTAGGCTATATTCAAGCGGTTCTGCTGTTACATAACAAAACAGGAATGAATATTTGGTAGAAGCAAGGTATTAGGATGACCTTAGGATTTTATCTCATCCTAAGGATGGATAGCAAAGTTTTTCCAGCTAAGAGCAGGCAATGGGGAGGTTTTTATGTAACATCATTATAAGGTGTCATTTGGAAGTCTGCTGTGAATGGTCTTGTCTGAATTGACAGAAATGGAGAATAATTCATGAAATCATAGAGTACTACTGTGAGACTCATCAGCATTAAAACAGTGAATTTTCCATATTCTGTTGCTTACTACCTGTCCTATCTTTCAATATCATTTTTGGATGCCCTCTTTTCACTTGAGGCTGAGAAATTAAATATAATCTACAGAATAAGCCTCAAAGTGAAAAATTAATTTTTAGATTATTTCCTCTGCTTCCTGAATCATTGAAATATAACCTCATGAATGTGTTATAATATGCTAACCCAGAAAGGTAGGTTATAGTGTGGCAGTTCTGTATTTAGATCTCAGCTATGGTGGAATTTCTAACCAACATTATACAGGAATAACGAGAGGCTGGTTTATAACTTTGCCAGGACAATAAGCCTGTGTTTGGGCATTCAGTACCAAAGTCACTGCTCTGTTTTAATTAAAAAAAAAACAAACAAACAAAAAACCAAAACAACAAAAAAAACCAAACCAAACTCCACTCAATGTTTCCATGTTCACTGTTTAACCCAATGACAACACTGCCAGAGCAGGAGAGGGATTATTATTCCATTCCCATTAAATGGAAATTAAACTAAGACAAATGGTACTTTTATAAACCAGCCTTGATAAGAGTCTGACAACTAAATTGGTATAGCAAAATGGACAAAAAATTACAATAATGCATAGAGACTTAGGTCATTATTAAGTTCAGATAGAAAGGTGTTTGAATTTCTTTTTCAAAAGAAGTACTTATTTTCATATTAATTTAATAAAGGTAGAAAGTTGGTAAAAAGATTCATTTTCCTCCTGTTTAATATATTGCAAAGCATAAAACCACAAAGTTAAATAATAATAGGATAGAGGGGATATTACAGTGATGTTGTATTTGAAAAATACATCTGGAGTAAAGCAAATGCCATTTCACAAGCTGTCAGTAGATGGCACAAACATGTATATAAAAATTTGGGTGTTCCTAAGTATTGTTACTCAGTAGGATAGAGTTACAGGAAGTTTTTTTTTTTTTGTTTTCCTGAGGACATTTTCTGCTTTTTCGGACAGCAGGGATTTCTGGTGAGAAAAGTTTTAATTTTCTTAACTTTGTGCTATTGCTAGTTAGCTGTAATTGTTTTATATTCTGTATCTTATTTGAAAATGAGCCTTGTTTTCCATGGCAAGTGTATGATGTTCTTTCAAGTGTATGGGTAAGCAACGATGGTGAAGTTGCTTGTGTTCAGAATATTTAAAGAAACTGTCTAAGTAGCAGTCTCTTTTTATTAGCACTATACCCATAGTTAAGGGGGGCAGAGTGATGGCAGTAGTTTTTCTACAGTTTTCTACAGTTCAGGAACTGGGTCTAACCTGATCATGTGTTTCATCCCTGTGAAAGGAATGTTTGTAACATTAGTTTTTTGCTATGCTGGTAACTTGCGAAGTGCATGTCTTAATACAGAACTGTCTTAGCTAAATGTGTTCTGTATATTTCTTATATAGAAGTTTAGTCAGTTTATATCAGTTTTATATTGGAGAAAGTCTTTAAACCTCATTTTTTATCTCTCCCCCTGCTCTTTTCATCTTGCCCCCTGCACTTTTAAGTGTCTCAGGACACTTTCTTGCTATACTCTTGGCTTGCCTACCCTCCTGGATTTCTTTTCTTGATTAAGCTTTTTTTATCACGTTTGAAGACATAAGGATACTTCTGAATTAAACGTGATGTGACTATGAAGGATAATTTTTACAGTATTAGCCTCCAAATCACAGCTTATATGTTATAAAAGTTTTTACTTGTATTGCTTCATATGATATTCTAAAGAAATTTTGAAGGTACTCATACATAATTTTACTGAATGCTAGGATATATGAAAGAGAAAGAAAATAAAACACACGTAGACGAATCGTATCCTTTTTTCATCTAGTCCATAGATATTGCTGAAATTTTATCCAAAGAAGGAATAATGTTTTAAAGTTAGATTTTTTTTCAGATTTCTCTTGAAGCTACGTATTTTGGTTAATTATAAACACATTAGTAGAGTTGCCCAAACAATCAGAAGAACAGGACTGAATATGCCCAAATGCCTTTTGAGGGCTGTGATGCAGAAAAGTTTTCCAAAGGAGAATTTGGAAAAAGGCTGGAAGAGTTTTGCCATATTACCCCACTGTTTCTAGATGATTTCCAAGCTTAGTTTCATGCATTCTTTACAAAATAACTCAGTAGGCTTTTTTTTTTAATGGAATGGTTAATGGTGCAGTGAATGTAGTCCTTGAAGTTATAAATCAGTCTGTTAGGTGATAGCTACTGTCTCATTGTAGAGCCATTAGAAATATAAACTCACCATTTAACCCCTTCAATACCAAGGGAAAGTTGAAGGCCAGTGCAGTCATTGAAAAGTACCACGGGAAACCTCAGGCAACATTATGATTTAAAATTAATGGGAGGGAAGGGGGAAGAAGAGGAAATAAAAATATATTAGAAATCTGGAAAACAACTTTAAAAAGATTTACACATATAAAATTGTTAACCAAGTTCTTACCAGTTCCTCTTTTAGAGGGGCAGTCTAATGGATTTATGCAATACCGAAAAGGAGATTTAAGACAGTATTCTCAATGGCTGACTTAAACAAAGGGAGGCTGGCTATCCTGAACTCCTACATTCAGAATGAAAAAGTGACCTCTAATAGGGAAAACCAAAGCAAAGACACAGTTACGACTTTTCCCCTTTAAAGTCTGTTTAAATAAACCTCTCTTTCACAACAGAGATGTTTGAGGTCAGTGTCCTTAGATCAGGGCTGGATTTTGTGTACAGAGCTTCTACATCTATTTTTATGTGTATTTTTGTGTACCCTGCAGGTATTCCCTGTGTGTGTCTGGTGTTCTCTTTGTACACTTGTCAAACCAGATGTGAGCACCCCACTTTCAGAGTCTAAATTCAGGAAATGCTTAAACTCAGACAAGAAGTGAACCCTTCTGTGGGCTTTCCCAGGGCATAAATATAGATCATTCTACCCTCACCCCCATTTCCCTAACTAAAAGAGGAAATTATGATCCAGTCTCAGCTATCTAAAGACATTCAGCTTTTGATTCACGCTCTTGAATCTCCATCCTGTATTTCAGTCCAAATGTGCTGTCAAAAGCAATAATATCTCTGAGCCCAGTTCATATCACTTAAAAGAGAATCTGAGGAGAGGATGACATGTTGACGCCAATTATTGTACTTTATAATCAAAGTGTATTACACAGTTTAGGAAGCCTTCATAATGCACTGTATCACAGCAGTAATTCTCTAAGTAAATAGCAAATTTTAGACACCTATGAAATCAGACATGTTTTGTAAAAAACTGACTCATTATTTGTTAAATACACAGTATTTCCCAGATAAAAATTTCAGTGGTCTGCAATTAAAGAAGGTATCTCCTGAATGATTGTAGAAAATCATTGCTTTTTGAATCAAAGGGAGAAATGAGAAATTGGAACTTTTAAAAAATCTCTCTCTCTGATGGTTCCTGCACAGCTACTTAATAATACAATCTGTTTTTTGCTTGTGTTTCTTTAATTTCTGCAGCATTGGAACAAAGATGGACAGTTAAGAAAAATATTGAGCACCTGCAAGGAAAGAGAAAACAGTATGACACTAAATACCAGCTTTCTCAGACACGTTTTTCTCTACAAGTGTGTGTTTGCATTAACTTTTGGGGACCATGTCAGCCTGTCTGTGGAAGATGAACTTTTTACATCTGTTTCTAACAATTTCCCAGAAGATGTTTCTAACCAAAAAATCATGAGCCTGCCACTCCAGTATACAAAGAGTCATCAGCCCAGTTGGGTTGTGATACAAAATACTACAGAAAGCCTGTCATTGTCAGAAATCACAGATGGCGATGCAAAAAAGTTGATAGCTTTATTATCTAATTTCAGACAAGGATCCAGGTTACAAAATCTGACACTGACAAATGTGTCACTGAAGTGGAATGATCTTATGGAAATTTTTCAGACTGTATGGCACTCATCCGTTGAGTACTTCAATACATACAATGTAACACAACTGTCAAATGTTAAAAGGTATGTCTTTGACTACTCAGGTACTTCTATGAAAGCATTGACAATGAAGAAAATTAAAATCACGGACATGTACTTCATACAGGATGATCTATACAAAATATTTGCCGACATGAATATTGAAAGCATGACAATAGCTGATTCGGAAATGATACATATGCTTTGTCCTTCAAATACGAGTTCCTTTAGATACCTAAATTTTTTTAAGAATGATTTAACAGATTTTCTTTTTCAAAATTGTGACAACCTACTTCAGCTGGAGACATTAATCTTGCAGAAGAATAAATTTGAGAGTCTTCGCAAAGTAAGCTTCATGACCAGCCACATGAAATCACTGAAATACCTGGACATGAGCAACAACCTGCTGCGCCACGATGGAGCTGATGTGCAATGCCAGTGGGCTGAGTCGCTGACAGAGCTGGACCTGTCCTCCAACCAGCTGGTGGATGCTGTGTTTGAGTGCTTGCCAGTCAACATCAAAAAACTCAGCCTAGAAAACAACCAGATCAGCAATGTCCCCAGGGGGGTGGCAGAGCTGAAATCCTTGGAAGAGCTGAACCTGGCATCGAACAGGCTGGCCGACCTGCCGGGGTGCAGCGGCTTTACGTCGCTGCAGTTCCTGAACGTGGAGATGAATTCGATCCTCACCCCATCTGCTGACTTCTTCCAGAGCTGCCCAAGGGTCAGGGAGCTGCAGGCCGGGCACAACCCGTTCAAGTGCTCCTGTGAGCTGCAGGCCTTTATCCGCCTGGAGAGGCGGTCGGGGGGGAAGCTGTTTGGCTGGCCGGCGGCGTACGTGTGCGAGTACCCGGAAGGCTTGCGAGGAACGGAGCTCAAGGACTTCCACCTGAGCCTGCTGGCTTGCAACACGACGCTCCTGCTTGTGACGGCTCTGCTGCTGACGCTGCTGCTGGTGGCTGCGGTGGCCTTTGTGTGCATCTACCTGGATGTGCCGTGGTACGTGCGGATGACGTGGCAGTGGACGCAGACGAAGCGCAGAGCTTGGCACAACCCCCCTGGAGATCTGGGGGCCGTTCTGCAATTCCACGCGTTCATTTCCTACAGCGAGCGCGATTCGCTGTGGGTGAAGAACGAGCTGATCCCGAACCTGGAGAAGGGGGAGGGCTGCGTGCAACTGTGCCAGCACGAGAGGAACTTTATCCCCGGCAAGAGCATTGTGGAGAACATCATCAACTGCATTGAGAAGAGCTACAAGTCGATCTTTGTGTTGTCTCCCAACTTTGTGCAGAGTGAGTGGTGTCACTATGAGCTCTACTTTGCCCATCACAAGTTATTCAGTGAGAATTCCAACAGCTTAATCCTGATTTTACTGGAGCCAATCCCTCCGTACCTTATCCCTGCCAGGTATCACAAGCTGAAAGCTCTCATGGCAAAGCGCACCTACATGGAGTGGCCGAAGGAGAGGAGCAAGCGCGCCCTATTCTGGGCTAACCTCAGGGCAGCCATTAACATTAACCTGCCAAAAGCTGATGAAAACTTGTATGAGGAAACAGATTTAGAATCTTGCTAATACAGTTTAATCTGTTTTTTCTCAGTGAAATAATAAATATGATTTCCATTCTTTGTAAATGTGTTTAACTTTTTTGTTACACATTCTTGTTTCCAACTTGTTGTCTGTGTTGCCTCCTAACTGTAGTCAAAATTCAATTCATCTTATTGCAAATCTCTTGGCATAGCAAATCGCAAATGAATTTGAATGTGGATATTGAAATATGACTTGAAACACTGTAGTGAGTTTTTCTCAGCTGACTAAAATCTGGACCAGTTAGTACAGTCATGTGGAAGAGTGCTTCAGCTGTTGGATAGTTTGCAGAGCTGCTTTAATGACAAAATTGATACAGTTTTGTCAAAGGAGATCTTTTGCTAAAATTGGTTCATGTGAAAGAAGATTAAGGATCCTGAGAAGGTGCCTGAAGTCCAGAGCTCAAAATGATTGACAAATAGTTTTTGCTTAGTTTTGGTGGATAAAAGGGTAGGATCCAGGCACAGAAGTTTGTGAATTTTGAGCTTGCCAAAAACAAGGTTTGAGTAAGGAAGATGAGTTTTAGGGGTTTTTTTTAAGAAAAAAAAGGGTGTGATACTTCACTTTTTAGCATGGTATTACAGCAAGGGAGAAGCAGTGAATTGACAGAGCTCTAATACCCATAAAGTCCTGGTGTCATTTTGATCCATTTTTACCACCTTGACCAGAGGGAGTGGACGGGCATCTGCAGTAACAGAGCTGCCTTCTTCATATTATCCATGTTTTGAGAAACTCCTGACATCTCTAAATCATGCATTATTCCCTCTGACTGTCTACTGTTTGTCTTCTCATCCATATATCTTACTTTATGCTTATTATTAAAAGAATCTGTCCTTTTCTGCTGAAACAGTGTCTCTTGTAGCATGGCTATGACTTGTTGTCAGAAAGCCAGTAACCAGTCAGAGCCTGAAAGAATTTCCCAGGTCTTGAGAGAGCAGGTAATTTAATGGTTTATTCACTGAGTTAGAAAAACAAACTACATTTACAATATTTGCTTTCCTTTACAGAAACATAGCAGGCCCCTCTGTCTGTATTTATACTTTTTTAGCTTGAAGAAAGCCTGGCTGGGCTCAGACAAACATTCACAACTGCTGAAGATGATGACAGCAAGCTTCCTCTTTGCTCCAACAAAGGAAGATTTTTTGAAATAGCTAGATGACCATCAAGCAGGAAGTTTCCCTTCAAAAATGTTTTTCAACATGTAAATGAGAGAAAAGGGATGTTATGATGAAATCCTCATGTAGTATAGAATATTTACATTTTATCTTATTTCTGTCTTCCATTACTAGCAAAAGGTTTTAATGCTTCTTTTTGCCTGAGGTCTAAGTAAGGTGAGATTTCTTGACCTGAAGCCTTGAACTGTGAGTGACTGTTTATGACCTGTAGAAAAAAGGTCAAATTTAACACCTTTAGCTCTCTCATCCCACTCAGCCTCAAAATTAATATAACACACCTGCAAATTGCTGACATTTCATTCAGGACTGTGGAAATAAATGTTTTCTCTGCTTTCTTCTTCCCCTCCCACTACTGCTTCAGTGTGAAAACTGAAGATGATCAGACAGTTTGTTTTGCCTATCCCTTTCTCACAACCAGGGACAGCTGGATTATGTGTTACCTTGCTTGAAAATTTTCTTCAAAAGCCTCAGAGTTTTAGGCCAGTAATTCTTGAAACCTCTGCGATACAATTAACATCCCCTTGTATGTAATCTTAAGAACTTATCTGGCTTCTTCTGTTGGCTGGAAGATGGGGAAACACTCTGAAAGTCAGAGAGTTTCCAAGAAACCTTCCTGTTAGTCATGTGGGAGCCATAGCCATTACAAGAAATTAAGGAGTGGAAGGTTTTAACAAGGCAAGCAAGATTTGTTTGCCGCTTTGGAAAGAACTCGGAACTATGTGACCTCAGGGAATGTAGCTGATGTTATCATAAGCAGAAGTATATAATTACAGTTCTCTGGTATTACAGGTTTCTGGATTCCAAAATCCCTGAGTGAATAAATTGGAAAGTGTGGCTTTTAGTGAGCATGGGCATAAATTAAAACTTGTGCTTTGGAACCAGAAGCCCACATACTATTATCTTTTCTTTTTCCATATGTGCCAAATAATTGATTAAACTGCTAAACGTGCAATAAATTATTAGAGCTAATTTCTCTGATTCCACAAGAGAGAATGAGTTTCTCAAGTGTTATTAGATTATTTCAAACAATTATCTCGGTCTCTGTCATACTCTCAACCCTTTCTATAAAACCAGCTTTAAACCATGAAGAAATTTTTCCGTGTTCATGGGGCCATGTGTAGTCTCACAACGCATGAGCCAGTTTATCTGCACAGTTTGGAAAGGGACTAACCTTTTCTGTGCAGCCTGGTGATGTGTGCCTGCATTTGGTGCTGCACTGACTGCTGCGGCACTCTAGTTATCAGGAAAAGGGAGTGTGTAAATGTATTCTGATATCAGATACTGTATCAGAGCAGATTCCTGGCATTTGATTAGTCATCTTGGTGACTAGCAGGAATGCTATTTTTACATAGATAAAAATGTCAACATACAAAACTGATAACATGGGAGTTAAACACCCTCCGAAACATAAAAAATGTGCAAAATTAAATTCAAGTGTAAAAGTGGAAATATTTTTATGTGTATTTAAGTAGTGTAGAGTATAAAGGAAACTGGCAGACAGGCAGACTTGACACAATGTGGATTGCCTGCTGAGAGCTCAGCTCTTCTTTAGCTTTAGGAATGTTACAAAACACCTTCACTGGAATTTAGCTGCAAAGAGTTAGAGGAAGGAAAGACACTCAAGGAAAAATAGTGGGACTCTGGGAGATTCTGCTGAGAGGAGGGTTCAAAACCTCTGTGAAACCCATGTTTTTACTCATGGCTTTGGTTAGTCTGTTTTTTCTTTTGGAAATATTTGCTGAGATTAACTGTAATGCTCATTTGTAGTCACTGTTTTGTCAAGGAAAACAATATTTATAATCAATAAGTGAGAAAATGGTGTGTTCTGCAAGGTGGCTCTGGGTTACCAGTTTGATTTCCACAGCTTTGGTCCTTGTGTCTGTTTATACCAAAGCAATATTGGCTTGAGCATGAATGTGATAGTGTCTGCTCATTTGACTTGTGGTGGCATTTAGCCATTTTTCACCTACTTGACATACAGGTGAGAATTACAGTTAAAGTCCTTGATGTGACCCAACACCAATGTTGCAAACCTTTAATTATTGTGTTAACTGCTTTAACCCCATGTCTTGCACATGTTAAGTTCCCTTCTGCAGTTCTTGTCAGAGAGATTCTTCCCACTTTTGGCATGGTGCTGGTCCTGAATAGCTTTTCATACCTGGCCAGAGGTAGTTGTGGTTCCTCTCTGGGTAAATAATGATGACATACAGGCAGAAGTGTGAAATGTCTTTTTGTGAACTCGGATAGAACAAACTGCAAAAAACCCCAGCAATGTAAAATTCAGAAATGGAGCAAGGTATCTGCATGAACATGTGTGAGCTGACTACGGAAAAGATGGTATGTAGCTGGTACATTTTGAGATGCAGGAACAGAAATACATTGCTTTTAGTTTTTGCCTGTTGTGAAAAATGACTGAATCAGCAAACTGAAACCAGCCCCAAACAAAACTTTGCTGAAGTGGTTAGTAAAAATAAATAATGCAAGGTTTAACAGAGGTATTCAGGAGTATCAGTTTTATTTTAACTATCCGCAAATTTTTCTTTAGGGCAAACACTTTATTTGAATGCATTTTAAAGCTTCATAAAGAAAGGTGGTAAAAAAATTAAACATACTACAACTAAAAGGTGGTTTTAATAGTTGTGTGTGCACTACAGTCAGTTCTGATGAAAGCTGATGGTGTATTTGATTTTAACCATGCAGCAAATTTTTTTCAAGGAATTATATTCAAAGTAAAGCTGCCACTGTTTTGGCTAATTGTGATATCATTGGTCAGGCAACAAGTGCCTTACTCTATTCAGTGTCATGGATTAATGCCTACCAATAGGAGCATCTCTTTTAACTTGAAGTCTAGATGGTATCAGCTGGCAAACACTCTTGCTGCTTTTTTGAGAAACGTTCATGATCCCTGGTCTGATCTGGGGTCACAGATGTTGATTGTCTCCCAGGCTCATGTCCCTGTTCACAATATTAACTGAATGGCTGCTTTCTTGGATTCCTTCTGTGGATGCAACAGCCTGGTCAGACAGTGAGAAAACTGGTTTCATTTTCTCACAGTGGACTTGTGAGACTTTTTAGGGAGTCATAGAAACGATGATAACTTGTTAGTATAAACAACCTGCAGGTGGTGTTTTTCTACTCTCAGGGACTGTTCGTGAGAAACATGTTTTTGTTAGCTAGCCAATCAAGTAGAATGTGTCAAATCTGTCTATAAAAGAGAGGATTTTTCATATTAAATGCGCCCCTCCTGCAAACCAGCCTTAAGAGTGAATTTGTGTCATTTCTGGCTCAATGCAGAGGATGGAGCTCTGTGGTGACATCCTTCAGCCCCAGATTGCCCTATATTGTGCTATATTCTTTGTGGCTTCATTACAGCTGTCTTGTCATAGGGAATATTCTCTGTTAATTTTTATAAATTTTTGGAGGAAGCCACAATGTGAGGTGTCCTTGATAACCATTCTAGTGTAAAGATGATTGGCCCGTAAAGGTTTTTAACTGTGCCAGTTTGCCGCTGTTACTAACTTTTGAGATATAAACTTCTGTCATCCATCAGTGGACTACATTAATTACTCTCCTTGATGAGAAAAAATTTTGTAAGGGTAGAGCTCTGCAAGAGATCTTGATGTGAACAAAAGTTGGCAGTGAGGGTTCTGCTTCCTCTTTTCTGTGTGTGCAAAGAGGAGATGCAGTTGACGGATTTCTAGAACATCTGTGTAACACCAGAAGCAGACTTGAACTTGAGCAGTCTTGCCATGGGAAATATTCTATACTACAGATAGGTTTATTTACTCTTAAACCAACTAGTTATGTAAATATTACAGGAGTAAATGTATTTTTAGTCTGAACTCTTAAAAGTTTCCTTTCATTGTG